ACGAAATCTGTTTTGCAGAAAAAAGTTATTTTTTACAACTAGAATCTCTTGCTAGCTGCTGTCAACATCATCATACAGCTGCTGTTATCATCATCATCATCTTGTCTTTGACTGGAGGTTCTCTCATGCTCCTTTGTAGCTCTGACATCTCTTTGCTGTACTACACAGACCCTCATTGCTTTTGATCCCAGGTCAGTAAGGTCTCAGTGTTCCACCCCCTCTTCCCAGCTGTCTGCAGCAGGCTCCAGCTCCCCTCCTCCAGAGGTGCCCTTGGAGGCTGTGCAAGCTTGGTGGCCTGTCTGCTGCAGAGCCAGGTAACATCCATGTACTGGAAACACCTGCTTTTCCAATTACCTAGTTTTCTACCCATGGTGATCTTGTACAATCTTGATCTAGATTTCAAGAACTCTGCATCAGTGACTTTGTTTTTCATTCACAAGAGTCTGCACAGATCAGAGTTTCAACCCATTTTCCTTGTCCAAGCAAATGTGCTACATTCTATCAACTACCTGCTGATATTGTTTGGAGTACTATTTATTCTGAATTAAAAAAAAAAAAAACCAAAAAACAGCATTGATAAATGTTATTAGAGATATTAGCTTGTATTCAGTTCACCAGTTGGGAAATATCTGCTTTTAGACTTTTCCTGCACAAATACTGGAAACACTCCTATTGGAAAATATACTGCCATATTTGCTCAGAGTTTGTTGTTTTAGCAGACACCCCTGCCAGTATAACATTTTGACTAGAAATAACCATGGTAACAAATGCAGAAGGCTAACAAGCACAAAGAGTTCAAAATTGTTTCAACTACCCTGTCCTGCCCTACTTCTTGTATGGGTATCAAAAGTCCTTTTAGGATAACCACAGCTATTTTAATTATCTTTTCTCAGCTATTAGTAAATTAATGCTTCTTCCTTTCTGGGATTTAAAAGTAAGATGAGACCTCCTGGTAGGACTGAGAAGAATATTTAGAGCTTTTGCTTCCCACCCCTTTGCATGCTGGGAATGCTTAAAAGAGAGGAAACACTCCATGTGGATTCTGGTATACCAAAATTAAGAGGTTGTTTTGGCATTGAATACAGGAATGCAAAATCTGTCTTGCATTTTGTCCTTCATTAATTAAATACAATAGTTTAAAAAAAAAAAAATCTGTTCAAGTTTCCACTTGAAGTTTCACATAGATGGTTCTTGTAAAAGCTGAGGGTTTGATTTAACCTAGTTTTGCATAAGACATAGGCTGTTTAACTGCATATTTGCACTGGCGCCTTAAAGGGACACGTATGGATCTCGTGAAATCTGTCAGGAGAGAGATGTAGCAGCTCACAACAGTCTAAGGCCAACCTGTGGCTTTGGAGCTGTGACTCAGTAGAGAGTCAAGTATGGCTCTTACACCAGGGCTGTGTTACAGATGTCAATGACTTCAGCTTTTTAGCTGTAGAGGAAATGAGGAGCCATTAGGGATTGCTGAAACCAGTGCTGCCTTGTGGGGTGCAGCTGTGTGCTCACCCTGAGGGGAGCGGAATGCCCTCGAGTGGGATCAGCGCCTTACTGCCAAGATCTGCAGATCGCGCTCCCGCAGCTCGCTAAGGTAGGTAGGTCTTGGCAAGCTTGTCTGGAGTGTCAGCCAAGCCCTGCTTCCGAAGAGCTCAGCTGTCTGGCCTCTCCAAAGTGACACTGGACTCATGCAATTAAAGCCCTGCAGTTTCTGTGGCCAGCGGCGCGGGCAGGAGTGACACATGGTGCCTCCCTTCCTAACGCGCTCCGACCTCCGAGGCAGGGCAGGCATTACCAGCCAGTGCTCCTGGTATATATAATGGGCTGCTGCTTCATTCACACCAGTGGATCTAAGGCAACAGGACCGCCAGGACTGCCTTGCCTCTGGTCCACAGGATGTTCACACAAAGAAGAATTTTTAAATTCTTCCAAACACCTCTTGTTCATAGGACGCTGCTTCTAAAGAGCCCTGAGATGGAGCCCCTGTGCAAGCCCAGAGGGACACTGGTCAGCTCTCACACACAAGTTGTTTACAAGAATTTGCAGACCATTCTATTCTATATCTATTTCATGTGGACATTTGAATGATATTTTGACCATCATTTCTTTTTATACAAAGGGGCCTTGATCCCAGAAAGTGTTGTACAAACACCATGAAAATTGATTCTGGATATTGGCAAGGAAAATAAAAGCAATTATAAAGATACTTACAAAAGTACCTGACTTTTAAAATTTTTTTTACCTAATCAGAAGCTGCTAAACAAGAAGTTTCCAGAAGACTCCAAAACATTAAGTCAAACTAATATGACTAAGCACCCTTACTTTGGTATTTATCTCAATTTCAAAATACTTCAATCACTTAGCACCTGAAAAGTAACCCAGCTACGAAACCCTGCCATACTGTGTAACTGCTCTTTGATGAAAATTACACCACACCTTATTAATCCCTTGCGGGGGCAGGGCGGGGGAAGAAAAAAAAGAAAGAAACCTCCTATAACTAAAGCCTAGAATGACTCGCAGCCAAACAGATGACACTTAAGCAAGTGTGCTAAGTACAGTACACTTCACAGTTCATCTTGGTATTAGTAATACTTTTAAAAACTGAGTGTTTTAAACTAGCATTTAGTACGTATGTCCACTACACAGCTCCAGGATTAATCTTCTCAAATACATATTTCCCTGAATAGGCATCATGTTTTCCACGGTCTCATAACATTAATCAAACATCACTCCCTGCAAACTCCATACCTCCCAAATACAAGCCAGGTTTATGAGTCAGCTCCACACACTGTAATACGATCAAAGACAAATATGGCACTTCAAAAGCTCATTTGCAGGAAATTTGACAGAAAAACCACCTAAAATAATTTTTCCAGATACTAGATATACTGAAAGCAATATGTTGTATCCCAGACTGATTTTGCTGAGTATGTTTCAAAATTGAATAGAGCTCAGAACTGCAGGCTATTAAGTAGCTGTTGAATACAATTTTTTTTTTGCACAATATTCAAACATACAACAGTTAAACACAGCAATCATAGGAAACAGATTATAAACAACACCAAAATATTACTAAAACCACTGATACTGTAGTAGCTTATATAAATGCAAGTTGCATTTACATTACATTCCACCATGAAGAAGATTCTTGCCCCCAAAGTGATACAACCAATGTATTTCAATTTTAATATGCATTCTTAAGGGTTTAAGCTATTTTTTCTTTCTGTTGATATACCTTGCCTCTCTTTTGTTGCAAGGTTTCAACTTTCAAATGACTAAACTTATGACTGAATGCTGAATACATTGTCCTTACTATTATGTTACAGCACGTTACTTTTAGAAGTAGATTGGTGGTATGACTAAGAGAGCAGAGTTTGTTTTTCCATTTTATTCTCCAGTATAAAGTCAAAATTCCCTTTCTGAGCAGGCATGCAAGGCAGCTTACACCAGTAATATTTGTGAAAAGCAAGCTCAAAAGTTAAAGAAACAACCATTCAGACTTTTAAAAGCATAACAATAGTTTCAAACATACTTTTCAAACATGTAATTCATTCTGCTTAGTGTCATGTTTTGAAAAGCTACAGGCATGCTTCCAGATTTTTACCTCCTGTAAGTGTATAAATTTAGGAGCAATGCAAACTTCCTTTTACAAAGGAAGTTTTCAAATTACTAAACCAATACAACAGATTTTAAAGGTTTGCAGAAGTTTGTACTACTTGCTATTAGGAGAAATAGTCAAGTTACTGTTGCTTTTTCCTTTTACTGAAAAATTGAACCATGATATTCACAATCTAGTTTCCTCTTCATAGGTAACTGCTAAGAACATTAGTCATATATTCAGGGTACATAATTACTCTATCATCTCTCTAGTTATTAAAGCAATCCAATAATGTTTTTCAGAGAGGCAAGTTTAATATTAATTGAACTCTTCTTGACCAAGCAAGTTGCGCAATATAGTAAAAGCAACCCTTTGCATGTACCACAAAGCAGAGATCTGCCAGAGCCCACAGTTATTAAACCTGACACCAGCTATAACTGCTTTATAGTTTCACATGTAGCCATGCACTGGGGTAATCTCTCTGTGATCTGGATCATATGAAATAGCTAAGAAATTTTCAGGTAGTTTCCACATTAGGTAGAAATTTTTGCAAGCATATTTCAGCTCGCAATACTTTTTATGCTACAGTAGCTCACACACCAGGATTTTTCCAAAAGTGACAGTTTCTCAGTGACAGTACAAACTCACAGGAGAATGCTCAGCCTTGTGAAGTGTTCCAGGAAGGTGCCAGCAGCCCCAGCACTGTCCTGCTGCAGTATCAAGATGCTGTACTGGGGCTAGCAGGAACCTCCACATCCTCCATGGTAATGGCCACGAGCGTCACTAGGTTGGAAAGGGGTGTGTTGCCTAACCCATTTCATAAGAAGAAGGAAATTTATTATAACAAAATCCAAAATATGCCATAGAAGTCCAAATTCTATATAATTAGTCAGTAGTAATTAATTTTCAAGCCAGAGGTTACAGCAGACACTTCACACAGTGGTTTAAGCTGCACTTACAGGATTTCACATTTTTCTTTTCTGTTGCTGGTTCCATGCTGCCTTCTGAAAATACTGCAGCTAAAAAAAAAAAAATAAACAACAAAAACCTAAAAAAAAAATTAATAGCCCCTTTTCCTTTCAGCTAAGCAAATTAGTTCAGCTTTTTTTTCTTATTCAGCTAGGGATTAATTTTCAAGGACACATTTTTTTTCTCTTTAAAGCCAAAGAGCAGAGGGGAAACGTTAAGGGGAAATAGGAGTTACAGCCTATAGTTCCTTTCAGGGATTCTGTCTCTGAGACAGAAAGCAGAAAAGGGATAAGAATACATGGATTCTTCCTTCCTGATATTTCCTTTCTATTTCCCATAAGCAGTGGTTTTGTCTTTAGCTGGTAAAGGTAAGCAACAGATAAAGAAAAATTTGACCAAATACCAAGACTAGAATGTCTCTTTACTGTCTTTTCAGGTGCTTTTCTTATTCCCTACATCCTCTTCTTAATCATTGCTGGAATGCCCTTGTTCTATATGGAATTAGCACTGGGACAATATAACCGAGAAGGGGCTGCCACTGTTTGGAAAATCTGTCCAGTTTTCAAAGGTAAGTGTTCCTCTGCTCCCCTGAACAGCAGCTGAGGGTGCCACAAGTGTGATCACAAACAATGTAAAGATATCTCATCTTTCACAGACAAGGTGGTATTTGGTGACCTTTCCCCAACCCTTGAAGTCAGAAGTTTTTGTGTTATCAAAGGTGAAACACAACATGGGAAAAGCCACAGAAATCATTTCAGGATGATTGCTGTCTGAGTGTAACAGAGAGCAATGAGCAGGAGCAGCTCAGCCCTGCCCTCCCTTTCCCCTGTGTTTGGGGTTTGGGAGGAACTGGGAATCTCAGGTGGGGGGGGGGGGGGGGGTTGCCAATCCAAACGTTGAAAATACCAAATCCCATCCAGTTAAGTTCAGCCCCGTCTTCCCCATTGACTAAGGTAACCACTACTCCATTCAGGGCATGGAGCTTTCTCTGCAGAAGCCAACATACCACAGTGCCTACAACAGTAAAATGGAGTTGTGAAGACTGTAGGTTTGGCCACTAGACTTAAAACAGCACAGGAGTTTTCTGTGGTTTCTCTGTACCTCAGTTTTCCTGCCTGTGAAGTGGGAGCAATGATTCGGATAGTCTTTGTAAAGTGTCTTTCAGATTTAGCAATGAAAAACACTTATTAAAATCTGAACATTACTACTATTGAGTGTTTACCACTAGGATTAACTCTCCAGCATCACTGAATAAAAGGCTGTGGAGTGTTGTTTGTGCTCAGCATCATTTTGCAAGGAAAAATATGTTGGGTGTTTGGCTTTGATCAGGAAACAATCAGTGTGTGAAAGAAGCCATATGTGTTCTGTACATGAAACAAGTATTTGTTAAGGAACTTGAATAAATTTTTAAGCATTCCTTGCCAGGAAAAAATGTAAGTTCCTTTGTATATATACCAGGCTGTATCTAAAATCTCATGCAAATGCCTTTTCAACAGAGACATACCTGAAATTAAACCAGGCAAGCTCAGCTGACCTTAGAACCTTAAAATTCAGATCATGTTCATCCTGGGACTGACAAAAGCTGAGGAGCTTAAGAATAGCAATCCAGACTTGATGGATCTGCTGCTTGGATATAGGTTACACTGAGTAAATGTTAGTCTTCTTTCTCAAAATACAGCTTTCCTCTTCAAGCAGTCTAGTGCCACATAGTAAGAAAATTGGAGGGGGTTTTCCCTACCAGTCAAACCCAAAACTCACAGCAAAATTAGTGGTATAACAGAAAATAAGTAAGCGAGCTAATAAAACAATGTGCCTCAAAATTTTAAAATTAATTCATATAGATTTACCTAGCCTTTCTATGATTCTGTCATGGGAGGCAAAATTCATCCCAGCACCCAGGAACCTAATACCCTTGCTCAATAAAAATTCCTGTTGGTATTATTTATATACCTTTGGATGACAATGAGGATTTTGAAAACCTAAATGCAAAAATTAGACCTTCAGGATCTCAAAGCATTTGAGCCAAATACCACTGTGCTCAGAGGTATTCTATGTTGACTTCAGGATTGAAAAAGATTATGAGAAAGGAAAATAGAACTTATTTCATGTATATTCTTGTTGACATTCCAGCTGTGTTTTTAAGCTGACATTTTCAAGGTGGACTAAACATACATTACTGATGATTTTTAAGTTTCTTATTGCAAGAATATAGAATAGCATAAGTTATTTGATTCTCAAAAAGTAATAAGCATTGAGACATTTGCACTTTGGTATAAACTCAGTACATTTAAAGTTTTGACTAAAACCTCTGATAACATGCAAACACATTTTACTGCTAGTGCTTCAGAGTTGTTTCTGGGACAACTCAGATCTCTCACTCAAAGGAAAAGTACACAGTCTACACAAATTCATAACAGCTTCTCTAAATGAACAGCACTATAGTTCTAATTTTAGCTATGAATATTATTGCTATGAACTCTAAGCACTCTACTTCTAATGAGATGCTATCATAACACATGCAATTACAAATATACCCTGTAACCTTTGTAACATAGTCTGTTTTCATCTCTGCATTTTTTTCCAGAGTCTATTTTAGACTGTGGGTGGTGCAGCATTACTTTTAATAAAACCTAGAAACATAAGAGCAAATTCATTCCTGAACATTCTTAAGATCACAGAGAAGAGCTATTTAAAACACATTTGATCCAGTATTTTTTAATCTTGACATTAAACATCTTGTGTTCTCCTGGACCAGAGGAATTTCAGGAACACTTTTTTAAACAACAATCATCTAATTTTAGTCTTTTGTATATTATCCATACTTAGTGTTTTAGCATTCACCTTAACACGCAGGAATTATTCTTTTGGGGTTTCCTCCCTCCTCTCCATTCTATTGATCATGGTGTATCACTAGAGTTTGAGTGTTCAAGCACAAGATTCATTTAAGCACCAAGAATTTGAAAATACTGTTTCATCTTTACTTTCACAATTTTCCTCCATTGTTAGGGATGAGAAAACTGGTTTACAGATTAAAAGCCTCCTGCAGAGCAGAGAGTAACTTTTGTACTGTTTTGTACTGCAGCAGTCTTTGAGCTGACAGCTCCTTCAGGGTCAGAATCTGTTCCTTATGCAAATTTTAAACCTGGATTAATACTCACAGTGGGTGCTACTTCCTTCCTTTATAAAGAAATAATAAAGGCTAATAATCTCCAACTGCTAGGCCTCTGATGCAAAAAATTAAACTGAAGCAAACTAGAAGTAAAGTTTTGCATTTAGTTGCTGTGACAGTACCCACTGTGACAGTGATGACATTCATAAAATAACTGTACTCCCTACCTTTTATATGCAGTACATACAACCTTGAGTAAAGATTCAGAGAACAAAGCTGCACACAGAGTAAGAATGATTGAAGTCAAGGTAAAGCAAGATTCCTGAACAGCTTCCTCTCAAATTGTTGGAAAATGTCCATTTTCATGAGGAGAATGTGCACTTTCTTGGGTGCTTCTGCTAAAGAGACCCTCCAGCCACACTTTATGATATGCAAAAATACAAAGCCAAAAGAGAATGCTTACACTCTGAATTCTGTAATCCTGGAGAGACAGCAAAAAGGGTCGAATGTCACATACAGTTTAGCCCCAACCTGAGAGTCACCAAGTTTTACTGGCATTCCCAAAACCACCTGGAGACCTCAGTGGAACAGCACAGACTCTTTCATGCATGATTTGGAGCCAGTTCCATGCTGATGGAAGCCAATCTAGAGAGCAGTAATGGGAAAGAAACAAGAGAGGGATCAGTGTCTGTTCCAAACTAATTCAGGGTGGGAACATGCGGCATAGGGAAACTTCATTTAAGTGTCAAGCTTTACTTTTCCAAGAGAAGTTGCCAAGGTCCCTGACGTCATGAAGATGAAGTGAGTTTCGCTCCTAACATGGGCTTGCAATCTTCTGCATTGGAAGCAAATCAGCAATTGAGTTGTACAAGGACAAATTTTGACATTGCACTGTTTAATTTCTTTTTCTGACAAACAACTGGATTTGCTAAAAGCCAGTCATTTTCCAGAAGCATTTGTGTAATTTTTTGTTTCGAGGTCAGGTACTTTGTATCCGCATATGTATATGCAAATGTCAAAAATTCCTTTTTATTGGTGTGAAGACCTAAAATGCATTTGCAATCATGCATCACTGAGTATAACTCCAGTGTTTGTGTATGCTGTTGCATGTCAAGTGCAATGTGTAACCTAGTTTTCCTTTGTCTTTAGGTGTAGGCTATGCAGTGATACTCATAGCTCTTTATGTGGGTTTCTACTACAACGTTATCATAGCTTGGTCTCTGTATTATCTATTTTCATCATTCACATTTGAGCTCCCTTGGACAAACTGCCACAACAGCTGGAACAGCCCAAACTGTACAGATCCAAAACTCTTCAATGCATCAGTGCTTGGCAATGGTACTAAATACTCCAAGTACAAGCTCACTCCTGCAGCTGAATTTTATGAGTAAGTGTTGACCTAACTTCGCTATTTATTCAAAATTTTGTGTTTAAGGGAGTTTCCTCTTGAAGGTAAAATAGCTTCTATCCAGCCTCTAGAACAAGCATCAGAAGACTAAGGTTAAATTGGAGCTGTAATGTTGGTCTGTATGCCTGGGTGACTGACTTTTGCCTCTGTGATCTTTGGTTTCTCCTGTGCTAATGCAGTGCTTGCTACTGAGCAAAATAGAATTGGACAAGACACAAATGTTCTCTATGTGCCACTTTTGCTTGCACCAGCTTTGCTAGGGCAAGGAAACACAGCAATATTCTGACAGAGGTGACTGCATGTCAAACTGAGATGAGTTTAAGACTTTAAAATAATCATTTGTTCACAAATTTAGACTGCTGCTCCACTCAAAATTTCAGAGCAACAGCAGACCTCTGTTTGTTCCAGTGCTTCAATAGTTCAATGAAGTGAGATAAAACACTGAGCAGGAGGAAAGAGCCAGATTACAGAATGACAGGGTTTTACCAATGCCTAAGCAAAAGAGTGTTCTGCAACACAGGCTGAGACAGACAAAGACAGGCTTAAATCAAACAGCTGGAATCAAACCCCAAAAGGTATATAAATTAACAACTGAACTATAAAACAAAGATACCTATCTCTGTATAAATATTTTCATTATGGACTTATAGGGGAAATGGGATTTGATTAGGAGAAATGGGATGAGCATCAAACTATTGAATCAGCTGTTTAATTAATCTGACTAATGAATCAATTAATATTTCTGTGTTTGGAGTAGAAAGATATCAGGGCACACACCTGCTAAGCAGTTAGTCCAACCTTGTAGAAACAAAGGGAAAACACTGTTACCATAAATAACCAGTAGGGATCTTGCGGTCTCTGTTTATAGCTCTTTAACATTTGTGGCTGCTGTTTCTCCTCTGAAGACAGCACAGTGAAAGATCAGTAGTGATACACAAACTGCTGGCAGGGGTTTGGGTAAACGAAACTCAGTGCTTTGAAAAAAGATGGGGGCTTGAGTTCAAAGGAGCTTACTGAAATGGCAGATAATGACAGCTGTGAAATCTACTGCCCTTACAATAGAAGGCCGAAGTCTTAGTAAAGTAAAATTCAATCTCTACCTTCTTGCTTTGCCTTTTTATGATTTAAAATGGTTCTCAGCAACTTCTGCTATCACATCGTGCTTGGGTAATGATTTTGACTTTGTAGTGGGTGAAGCTGTAGTAGAATCAATTGATGACGTTTTGATTTAGTTCCACTGATATTATGGATTATAAAATATTATGGTCCTTTCCTCATCCTGAATGAGATTCAAGGTGCAGTGTTCAGAAGGTAAGAACAAAAAGGGAATTTGACATTTCATTATGCTTTAATCCCTGAATTTTGCAGCTGTAATTAGGTCACTAGTCCCTGTACTTATTAATGACTAGATTACATTGCAAAAATGAGAAGGGTAACCACTTAACTAAAACACTCTATAACATCTGTTTTCCCAGCTGTAAAAACAGGGAATCACAAGGGGCATTATATTCACTTATCCAGTATTTGGATGAGCTCATCGGGTCCAGCTGTACAGCTCAGGTGTCAACCCAAACTTGTACAAAGTCTCAGTGTATTCAGATCCAACCTATAAATGAAAACAGAAAACAGTTTCTTTCTTATATCAAATAACCCAATTCATGCTTATGGTCTTTTTACAACAAGGAGAGTTGAATCTTTTGATTATAACGTTTCATATTTTGTGCCGGAGTCTCAAAAGGAAATTGGAAGTGATACAGCTTAAACTTGGTTCTCTAGGTTGTGTAGTTACATCAGAAAACTCACACACAAAGTTTTGGCCTCTGGTGGGCCGGCTGAGGGGGAAGCAGGGAGACCAGAAACACCAAACATTTATTTTGCAGTTGCAGAGTGGCTGAAAAGAGGTACTTCCAAGACAGGACTCAAGCAGAGAGCTAGTATGATTATTCTGAAAAGACACAGACACTTCTTTTTGGGACATAATTCCTTCACACTAAGCTGGCCTGACCAAGCATTTAGAGTTGATTATTTCCTAAAGCTCTGTAGCTGCCAGAGCTGACTGCCTCTATCTCCACCAGCACAGGAATAAACTGTAGGAGGAAGTGGGAATGCTGTGATGTGACAGTTCATCAAATACTACAAGAAAGGTACCTCAAATTCAGCAGAAATATGCTGGTTGTCAGTACTTATATTGAGTGAGAAAAGGGAAAACTTGCAATCTAGGCCAAATCTATCAGCTATCCAGTATCTGGGAGGAAAAATAGAGAGAAACCTCTAAACCTCAGACTAGGAAGAAATCATTTCAAGTTGCAAATTCCATGCCAACGCAATGGCAGGAGAACCTTGAAGAATATATTTGGGTTTGTTTTCAAGCCTCAGGAGCTGGGCAGTACTTAAGGTTGAAGTGCTTCTACACTGAGGAGTGTAGAAGAGTTTTTTAATAAGTTTCATTTTACGAAGTCTGGTTTCAGTTGTAGAGGGCTAATTCAGGCCAAGGTGCCACTGATGTCATGGGACAGCTTCTTACTAGAGGAAAGAATGGGACCTCTGCAATACTTCATTAGAGATGCTTCAAATTAACTATAAAGAATTTGTACACTGTAAACTTGGCAAAGCATGCTAAAATCTAATATCAGCTGGTGCCATTCTGTTAAGTAATAGCCAGACATAAAAGAAATCCAGTTAGGAATAAAATGTCAACCCCACATTTCTTTAGGGACACGCATTATTTTAATTCCTTCCCTCTTCAGTGAGTTGGAATTAAGCACAGAAAATGAAAAGAACCTTCTATCCTTTCCACACACGTTAAAATAATTCTATATGAGCCTTTCTCTTTTTTGGAAGAACAGAAGTACATCACAAATAAAGTTCCCCATCTACTCCATATTGCTCCTATTTAAATACTTCATCAGAACAGAGGCATATTTTATATTTTTTCTCTCCACTCTTGTGTCTGGGAAAAGTCTGTTACCATCTTGCTTTCATTTATGCTGACAATTAAGAAATACCAGTTGGAGGAACAAAAGCACTAATCTTCTCACAAGGTACTGTGCCTGCAAAAAATCACAATCAGTTGTAGAAACAAGTCTTGGCAATTTTTTTTATAAAAAACAGTGAAAATATCAACAAACATTGGGCTACAGCTATTTCCCTCTGACAGTACTTTTTTCTCAGGGCTGTAAATCCATTCTTCCTGCATGAGAAATTTCACAGGGAAATTTTCATGCCAGATTCAGTAAAGGAAATTCACAGAATTCACAAGTCTGCCCAGCTGTGAACAATTACAAAAATCTACCTAAGATCAAGGAATAAACCCAAGATTCACTCACAGCAGTCTACATTTGTCATATTTATGAACATCATGTTTATAAAATTTATAAATGTGTGAACCAAGAACATCCTGTAAAAAAAACACCTCACCCTATACAACAAAGGTTACTTTTCTAGCATAGGTTTATGCTTTTGGGTACAAATCTTAACTGGAAATGCCACCCCAGGCAAAGGCTCCACATGGTTCAGTCTGACAGCAAATGGAGTGACCAATGCTCTGGACCCCAAAGATGCAGGAACCCATCCTCATTAAACAATTGGGAAGAACTTCTCCCAAAAGAGAATACACTACTTCAAAAGTCAGCACAAGCAATTCTGCCTATAATTCTGCCCACAATTCTGCCCACATTTATAATGTAAATGCTTATAAATTCTGCCTATAAATGCCTATAAAAACTTAATCAGTCTGCAAGAACTAATGAGAGTGAATAGCCCTATATTCTGCTAATCACACCGGGTCTTTCCATTCAGCTCTTCTGAAACAGTAAATTTTGGAGAGTCATGAATGTGCTGAAGTGGGGCACAGTAGCAAGGGAGGTCAGAATTGCTAAGTTAGTGGGAGAATAAAGTTTTCAGTGCATTGAGATAAACATTCTCTCTATTATCGTGACTCAAAAAGAAATTTCACCTCCAATGGGGCAACCCCAGATGTACAGACAGAGAGGGAATGAGATCCTGGAAAGCAGCACCATGAAAAGGGACCTGGGGGTCCTGGTCCATGGCAAGTTGGACATGAGTCAGCAGGGCCCTGGCAGCCAGGAGGGACATCAGGGGGCCAGCTGGGCACAGAAGGGGATTGTCCTGCTCTGCTCTGGGGTGGCCTCACCTCCAGTGCTGGGGGCAGTTTTGGGCACCACAATATAAAAAAGACATTAAGATGTTATAGAGCATCTAAAGGAAGGCTGTGAAGATGGTGAAGGGCTTGGAGGGGAAGCTGTGTAAGGAACAGCTGAGGTCACTTGGTCTGTTCAGCCTGGAGCAGGGGAGACTGAGGGGAGACCTCAGTGCAGTTACACTGAGGGCAAGAGGAGGGACAGGCACTGATCTCTCTTCGTGGTGACAGTGACAGGACCCAAGGGAGTGGCCTGAAGTTGTGTCAGGGGAGGTTTATGTCAGATATCAGGAAAAGGTTCTTCACCCAGAGGGTGATTGGCCACTGGAACAGGCTCCCCAAGGACCTGGTCACAGCTCCAAGCCTGACAGCATTCAAGAAGTGTTTGGATAATGCTCTCAGCATGGGAGATGTGGACATTTCTTAGAGATGTCCTATGCAGATGTAACAGTTGTAATCAATGATCCTTGAGGGTTCCTTCCAATTTAGTATATTCTGGGATTAAGTACAAATAATAATTTATGATAAGCCAGCCAGGGTGCCACTGGGAAATCATTGGATTCCCAAAATCTATCTTGCAGTCCATTACACAGCTCCATTCTCCAACACAAGAGGGAGCTGAAATATCTAGAGAAACACCCAAGTGCTGCTGCATCCCCTGGCATCCCCCTGGATTGTGCCCAGCACTCCAGGGTGGGGGTGAGGCACACAGGGCACAAGCACTGCACCTCAGATGGCTCAGCTGCTCGCCGTGCTCTGGGCTGTAGGACAGCGCTGTCCCAGAGCCAGGATATCCTTCAGCACCGCAGCTCTGCCTACTCAGAGCTCTTTACAAAGTACCCAGAGACACCCAAGCAGCTCAGAGAGCAGCCCCAGGTAGGGCAGAGCTGGGCCTGAGCCAGGCTACCCCTGTGGCACTTCATGTGGAGCCACTCTGCTCTCTGCACTGCACCCCCAGCCCAGAGCTACAGCGAGACCCTGGTGAGGAGCCTGCATGGAGCCAGCTCAGCTCCACAGGTCTTGGACCACAAGCTCTGCCTCACACTGCTCTGTGGACACAAACTGTCACAAAACCACAGGTGAATGTAAGCTGAATATAAGTAGTGCTATTTGTGAAATAAAAATACCTGGAGCCTGGCAAACTGCAAAAAGGGCTGTATCCACATCAGGTAGCTAGCCTAACCTTCCACAGGTAAAGGAAAACCACATTTCATGCTCTGAAGGAAACTGGCAGCAATGATGACTGAACTGTGGTTGCCCAAATATATAACACAGAAGATGCGTGTAGAATAACCTTCTAACTGAGCACAATTATCATGCTCCAAATTGCCTTCTAAATTGAGTATGCAATTTAATTTCTATAGATTGCACATTGTATACACATACAGTTCTTTTAGCATCCTCAATCTACAACTTGCATTAAGTTTTAAATCATAAAAACATAGTCTAACTACTAGGATAGGGAATATAGCTTGGGACACCAGGACTGTGTCTATTTATACCTTGTCCATTTTGCTGATTCTTAGTTTTTGCAAACCATTTGGGTTTGATCTCATAAATACGACTACTAACTTTTAGAAGTACTTAGATGTTCCTAGAAGTACTTAATATGTTAACTAGAAAATACACTTGTTAGTTAACATACAAATTTACTGACAAGTGATGACATTTTTGAATTCTAAATCAATCTGATGCAACACACGTAAAATTTAGATAAATTACATTCTTCTATTGAGCGCATCAAATTTAGGCAAGTAACTTTTACCACTAATAAAAAGAGAAAGAATGAGCTTATAGAGTTGTGTCATAAACATATTTGGACCAAAAATGAAAATTATGATTAATTTTGTATTGAAAAAATGAGACTTACTCCAAGACCTTTAACTTGATCTGTTTATGCAAAATTTTCTAAACTTCTAAAAGACAATTACATAAATCTGTCCAGGGATGAATAATACATAAAGCTCCCTAGAAAGTACCAGTGTGACAAAACCATCCCAGAAAATTCTACACCTAAAACTCTTAAATCCTGTTTTCTGGCTATAGCTTAAATATGTTGGAGTGAAAATGATAGAGTAATTTTCAGATCACAACCCTTGGCATTTCTTTATTTCCTGGTTTGATTCCCTGTTTATGTACAGATATTCACCACTTCCATAACAAATATATTCTGAATTGCTCAGAGACAAAGACCACATTTATAATGATCCTTATTTTACAGATGGGAAAGCCAAGACACAGAACAATTAATTGGTTCCAACATTTCCTGTTATTAAAACTATAACTGGATCCTTCATTTACTGAGTCCTACTGAGAAGCTGTCCCACTACCGCTTCAATAATTTGGTTTTTTGTAGGGTTTATGTGTGAGTACCAAGCAGCTGAGCTGCCTGTTGGCTGTTCAGGGTCTGATGCCAAATTAAAGGAGACCCAAGTGCTGCACAAAGACTAAACAGAATTAGTGGTACCAACAGACAAATCGCTGTCTGCAGATTTCTTTGGAGGTATTTCTCTTTAGCTGAGTGCAATGTGAAAGTAAGGCAGGAACTGGTGCCAGAGTCCTTGGGTGACTAGGAAAATCTTCCCAGAAGTGAGCACAGGGAAGGAAAGAATGAGAAGAAATTTCCCTTGGGAGGAACCAGAATGTCTGAATGCAGCTCCAAATTGAGAGCCCTTCACATTCCTGCCCCTCCTGCAGGAATGGAGGAGGTGGCCAGACTCCTGGAACCTGGATGTACAATCTCAAAGTCATTGCGAATGTAATTTATCTCCCTTACATGGGATGCAGTCTTAGGCTAAACCAAGCTCCTTTGCACAAATCCCTGATTTCTAGTACATGTAGTTTAATTCTTGGTGCTGTTTTCATTAAATATTCCTAGAGCTCAGACTAGAATATCAGAAAGTTTGAACAATTTATTTGTTTCTCTTGCATTTTGTCCAGCCTAATAAAATAGATCCTTATTCTACTGTCAACTCCATCTGTTGTTCTCAGCCTTTCCCCCCATAACAGTCTCTTCTCATTTTTGCATGTATTTCTCATCTACTTTAATTATTTTCTCAATAAAAAGCTACAAGCAAAACACTAACTCTAGTTGTCTTACTATCAATGGTTTTTCCTTTCTTTTTGACTCATTTGAATTCTGAGAGTTTATTTTGTTAGCAGAATTGGACAAACATCTCTATTTATGAAGCAAGTATTGCTTTCAGAAACTTTTACTTAAGACATGCTTTGGACATAATTTGAAGGCGTTACCAGAAAACAGAGCTTCTCAAAGCACCGCCACTGACTGCCAGTGATGCCAGCAGGGTTTCTACTGCTGCCATTCCCATTCCTGCTGCCCACAGCTTGAGAGGTGCAAAAGCCTTTTCCCCCAGTGACTTCACTTTGTTTCTGTATATCTGGTGTGTAGGCGAGGAGTTCTGCACCTGCACGAGAGCCGTGGGATCCATGACCTTGGCTTGCCTCGCTGGCAACTTGCCCTCTGCCTCTTGGTGGTGGTAATCATTCTTTTCTTTAGTCTGTGGAAAGGCGTGAAGACTTCAGGAAAGGTAGAGCTAATATTGTCCTTCTGTCTTGACTACATTCTTTTTCTACTTTAAGAAGTCTCCTAATTTTAGAAAGTAAGAAAATAGGTCGCTGATTTGAGGCATCCTCAGGAACCAAACTATCACATTTCTTGTGTGATATTCCAACTGAAAAATTTATTAATGTATTCTTTTCAATTCAACATTGGTGGTTTCATCCAGAAAGTATTTTTAAATAAACTAAATTGTCTTAAATGTGCATCATCTTCTTAGCCAAATGTACTAATATTTCAATGATATAAGAGGTTTTGGTTTTATTATATGAAATGCCATGTCAAGAGAAATATCTGATGGAAGTCATGGTGAATCGCTCTTTGACATCCCTCACAAAATACCTCAAGAGAAATTCTAGAGTTGGATACCTCTGAGAGGTTTTTATACATTTTCATGAAAGTATCACTTAACATCAGGCAATGACTGCACTTTTTAGTAGACAACAGAGAGATGAGGAGGAATCAGCAGTCTAACATACACTTGACACTGTCTTCTGTTTGTCAAAACTCTCTCCTACTGGTATCTCTAAACTTATATATGAAAAGATATATGGCATACAACAGCATTTTCCCTCATGTCCTAAAAAGAGCTTCTCCATCCAACTGAATGGACTAAACCAAGAAAATGCCAGCTGTACTTATTACACATTCTTAAATCTTCTATAACAGCTGATTAACCTTTGGGATCTCTGTTGTCTGCAGGTTGTTTGGATAACAGCCACTTTGCCTTATGTTGTATTATTTGTCCTATTAATACATGGAATAACCCTGCCTGGTGCATACAATGGAATAAATGCATACCTGCATATAGATTTCAGAAGATTAAAAGAAGCCACAGTAAGTGTACTCTTCTGTTCTCATTCCCTAATTATTAAACCTATGGCCCACCTTATTGAAACTGAAGATATTACAACTAACCTGGAATTAAATAGCCATGCTTCTGCTTCTGCCTAAGCACTGGTCCCCTTCATATGACAGTTTAACTTTCCATTACTCTCCAAAACTATCTCACTCTAAACCCAAACAAATCGGATCACAAAACAGCTCTGTGAAAGCACTTACAGGTGTGGCAGACCCCTGAAAACGGTCATTCTTTGACTGTGCACCCAGTCAACTGCAATATCCTTTATACAGGAAATTGGAGTCATGCAAAAATTTAGTTCTCAAAAGGCTAAGAATTCCCTCAAGAAGGAAATTTTGCTTTCTCAACCGCTAGCTTAAATACTAACCTAGAAAACAAAAATACTGACCTATGCAAACCTTGCTAAACATACAAGACCAGGACTAACTCACCTAATCAAATCATGGTCCTTCACACAAATAAGATTTTGAAAAGTACAATGTTCTTATTTTACTATTGAAAGTAACATACATTTCATTCTATCACTGAATATATACAAACCAACCCAGTTTGTGGAGTAACTTGGAACTAAGACTTATTTGTAAAGCAAAATCTACACATACAGTCACTAATACATGAAATTGGCAGCATTTTATATCTATAGACATCAAAGACAGCAGAGATATTTACTCCCTTCTACTATCCTAAAAATGGCATAAAACATTTATAAGACACTAGTGTCTCTATGGATGGGTCACAAGGCCATTCAAATGCTTATAAATCTGAAAAGAAACAACATCATTTTACTAGAAGGAAATGCATCATCTTGAAAAACTGCAGGTTTCAGAAATGTCTGCAGTCTGTCCATAGTTGCACAGTACCTTTCCTGTGAATCCTATCTTGACTTTTCCAGAATTATTAAAAAAGTCTTCAAGATTTATAATACAGATATATTTTTAATATTCCTAGCAAAAAAAGACATTCCTGGCTTTTTAATGCAAAATTTGAAAGCAGGCATTTCTTCAAAAATAGACCCAGACCCCATGTCTATTTTGGAATAATCCAATCAAACTTCAAATATGGGATTTTCATCCACCTTTGTCACAAGGCAGTACCTACCCCAGGAATTCACATTTATGCATACACATAAATACAAAGACGTCAAGATGTGCAAAGCAGGTGCTCATATTTTTCTTATCTATTTTAACTGCTGTTTGGAAATAAACACCACAATTTCAACAAGCTGCCTATGGAACTGTACTATCTGTACCAGGCCTCTATAACCATATCTGCCTTCTTCTTCTGAAAGGACATTCTGTGTGCTGCTCTTTCTTGGCTTAATATTTCTGTAGCTGCTATTTAGATGACCCTCAAGTTATTTGTTTCTACAACTACATTTTTCAGACAACAACAAAAAGTTACATTAGAATTATAAAAGACCAAAGATCACTTATTCTGAGAAGTGCCACTAACTGCTTTGTCATGCCAGCCCTTCCCCCTTGGACAGTGGGATCCCTGCTGCTGCAGTAACCTTGTGTGTTTAATCTTTGTCCTCAGGCTCCAAAGAATAGAATCCCACTTCATTTCTATGTCAGTGTATGTCAATGCATCCCTGGATGTGATATATGATTTTTTAAATTTCTTCCAAATGAAGACTCTGACAAAGAAACATCCTAAGTCACAAACAGTGATGCCCCACAGAGGGCTCTGCCAAGGCTCTTCTAAGAGCCCTTAGTGCACCCTGGCCACTGTCAAGGTGTGTCCCATTTTGTGGAGCCAAAACTGCACTGCACAGAAGTTATAACAGCATAAACACCGAAGAAGGCTGGAAAGACTGGTGACTGCCTATTGTAAATTGTTCCTATTTATTTTTAATACAAATAAAACCAATATTCTATCATAAAATATATTCAATCACACATCAATCAAAAGCTGTGAAAATCAGAAACGTGAACTGCAAAATGAGCCATGCTGTCTTACATCCTGCTTGGTCAGAACAAAGAGAATGTTTTACATTTAATCTTAATTGTGAAGGAATTTCTGGTTTCTGCTCTTCTTTCCCTTCACTTTGATCTTCTCAATTTGTTTCCTAATCAGCTGCTGTGAGCCAAGACTCTTACTCAACAGATACTTCAGCATGTGCTTAAATCCTTTGGGAGGCAGCAGGTGCTGATCTCTTACTTGAGCCAACAGGACTTAAGCATGTGCTTAAGGGTGCTTGAATAGTGGGCAAGGGTGAGTACAACTGCACTGGCAAGATACAAAAGAGACACAGAACCACTAAAAACAAGTGTCTTATGGTGGCAGTATGCAGATCTGGTTAGAGTTTAATAAAACAGGTATTGAAAATTGTCGGAACTCAAAATGTCCCTCAGACATTTTTAGAGGTTCCAGGCCTTGGTCAGAAGCATTTTAGACCCTGGCAAGCAGCTGAAAACAGCTGTGATTTTGAGTTTGAACCATGGAATGAATTACCAACTTTGAAGGTGGAACAAGCGGTCACAGAGAGTTAGATGGTATAGTAAAAGTAGTCACAAATTAGAGGGTAAAATTTTTTAGTATTGTACAGGGGGGTTTTAACACCTGTACAGGGGGGTTTTACTTTGTACAGGGGGGTCAGGAGTTCTAAGATGGAGGAAAGTGGGCCTGATCCTTTTCTTCCTCCTTCTTCTTCCTTACCTCCATGTTCTTGGTGATGTTGGCATTTTTCTATTGGTTTAGGCTGGGGACACACTGTTCAACATAGATGATAGATATTGGCACATTATTGTAAATATAGTACACGTAATTTCTGGTATATAATGTTTGTACCATCCCACTGAGGGGCAGAGCCCCACACGCTGCCCTGCAGGACAGACCTGCGGTAGGGCAGCAGAACATGTTAGAGATAAGCAAAAATAAACAACCTTGAAACCAGCACAGACGAACTATGGCTTCTTCTTTGGCAACGGGGCAGAAAGACACAGACTTTCTACAATCTCGGAATCACCAATACCCACAGATTCCGACAGAAAATGCCCAGGAATTTTGTTGACAACTAAAGTTATCTGAATTTTTCAAAAAACAAAAACAAACATAGGAGACTGCACCCCTGCTTCTGCATTCCTAGCCACATAAATGTTATTCATAGAGTACAACTCAATATGATTTCAACCTTTGTGTGAAAATAGAATATTAACATATTACTGGTATATAAAAAGAATAAGTATGGAATTAAGGTTACAGGATTATTTTGTAATTCATTGAAAGAAATCCATAAAACCCTGCATTAACTACAATTTGAGAAAATCATATCATCCTATCCACTGGCTAGCAATAAACACTCCACAGACTGCTTTTCATATTATCTTTCAAGTAATCAACTCTCCATAGTTCATAAAATTAAGTTTTTTTACAAACCCAGAGTACCATAAGTGGTTTGCAGTGTCCAGCAGGCAGCAGTTGAAAGCATCCGTCATCTATGTTGAGAGAAAAAAAGAGATCACCAGCCTAAGTGCTTTCATATATCATGTCAGCATGGGAGAAGGCACTCTCTTCCTTTCCACTAGGCCAAATATAAAGTGTAGCACTAAACTACCAATGCAGAGAGACCTCATAAGCTGCTTAGACCTATCAGAAAGTTGCTGCTGAATAGATATATTAGATCTGATTTTGTAGAGATGAATGATGAAATCCAGTGCTTTTCATAGTTTTTTCAGAGTTCTTGGCAGATTTAATCAAACATTGCAGATCTCATTTTGAGAAATGTTAAGTATTATTCACACCACTGACTTCACTACTTCTGTTGAAGATGCTCATTTAAAAGTCTGTGTAACAACAGAAGAGGGTTAACCAAGGCTATTTTCAGGTTTCTGGTTCAGAGAACCAGGACTGTGGCATTGTTCCTGTCTGGATGAATGGCTATTGGTAGGAGGGACACTTTAGGAAATACTGTACTTTTACAGTGTTTCCCTGGTGGACAATCCTTAAAATTATCAATCTGCATCTAAACTGAAATTTAATGACTATCACAGAAATAACTCTTTCTCCAACTAAGTGAGAAAGCTGAGATAAATCTTGCATGGCTCTGTTCACAGCACATCAGTCATGCTTCAGCTCCTGAACCAGGAAAGCATCATATAGAGTGTGCTAACAGTCACACAAAGGAAGCTCTAGTATGGGAAAGAAAATGTCCTATAACTCTTGACCCATTAACTATTTTTAGATTTCTGGTTGTACATTCCAAACTAACTTGGAACAAGAGCTGTTGGAAGCGTATTTCTGTCACCCGGGAGAAAATCCCCTGTGATCATTTCAGTGCTGGGTAAAGCCTCAGAAATGCCTGCCCCACTGCACAGCCCCCAGGGCAGCAGTGTGTGTGTGCTCCGAGGGCTTTTCCCCTGCTCCTGCTCCCCCGCCACCACCATTCCAGAGGCCATTCTCCATGTGACACTTACCTCCCCTTGGCATGAATGCCCATTTCTTTCCAAAAGCCCTGGTCTTGCTTTTCTCCTGCTGTATCCTTGTGGACTGAACTGACCCTGGCACTGTTGGTGTCATTCTGCAGGTATGGATTGATGCAGCTACTCAGATATTTTACTCCTTAGGAGCTGGGTTTGGTGTTTTAATTGCATTTGCCAGTTACAATAAGTTTGACAACAACTGCTACAGGTAAGAGCCTATTCTTCCATTACTGCCACAAGATTATTTTATTTTGCTCTGGCTGCTACTGAAAGAACTTTTAAGTGATCATTTTATCTTCAGTCATATATTAATGATGGCGAGTTTTGTGTAGACATAGTAACCAACCCAAATCTTGAAATACTGTCTTTCTTACTGAAATTTTAGTAACAGGAACCTGCCAAGATATCTGCTGCTCTCCAAAGCAGAACGGGATTAGGTTTGGACTTTAGACAGCTGTGTAAACTATGTTGGTGTTTGCCTTTCAAAAGTACCATTAAGCACAAGAGTGAACACAGGATAAAATCTTATTGGTGCAGGAACAAAAAGCAGAAAGATTCCAGCTTCCAGAAGTGTTTCTGTGCTTTGGGATTATATTTCTGATATTTTACTGCACTCCAGTTTAGGAATGCACTTTAAATCAAGTCAGTTTGTAAGTGTTTTGCTGAATCATCACCATGGAAATTCAAACAGAATCACTCTGCACCATGTGAGAAATTACAACATTTAAATGTTTTTTTAACATTAAATTTTGGAATGAAAACAAGCAAGTCTTTTCCAATGAAATATAAATTCAGAAAGTACATATATTGTAAATGCATTGTAAACTGAAGGATGGGGGAAAAATGTTAAAGGAAATCCCCATCTAGTTCTTAAAATTTTTTCTCACTGGGCTGTTCTTCTCTCCATGTTTAGGGATGCTTTGCTGACTAGCACCATTAACTGTGTCACAAGCTTCATCTCAGGATTTGCCATTTTCTCCATATTGGGCTACATGGCTCATGAGCACAAAGTTAAAATTGAGGATGTAGCTACTGAAGGTAGGGAGTTAATTCTATATTAATTTCTTTTCAAATGTGTTTATATTTGATTCCAACAAGTGTGTGAAAATCTCATGCAAGTGAACTGAATTAACTTACCTAGAGCTAGAGCTCTGTGTTTAAATTCCTTGTTGAAACGTGAACTCTCAATGGCACTGATTCACCTCACCTCTACTGAATCGAGGTTCCCCAGAATCCTGCCCCCACAGGTTTTGCCCATTCAACAGACAGGTGTTAACCACTGGACAATATCTTACAAAAGTATTGCTGTCCAGTGCCACAGGTGACTGGTTTTGATGGTTCTGCTAAGCTCAGCTCTACAGTCTTTACTGGGAACAGGTCACTCATGGTCCCAGCTCCTGCACCTCTCATCACATCCAAGAGTTCTCTTGCTAAACAAAGGCACATAATTCCACATAATTCCTTCACCACTACATAGAAGAATAACTAGTAAGGTTGCAAAGCCAATAAAATATTATTCAAAGTGGACAACAGTGGGATAGTGTCTTTTTAATACTAAATCATCATGAGTAGGTAAATAAAGCATTTTAAATATATTTTGGTATAAGGCAAATTTTGTTTTAACAATACTCAGACCATGACAAGGACTGAAATGAAAGTCAACTTAGTCATGATTTATCTTATTAAAATGAACACTTTTATGAAGATAAGAAACATAATGAAGTGACACCTCCTTCTCCCCTTTTCCATTCCAGGAGCTGGTTTAGTTTTCATCCTGTACCCAGAGGCAATTTCAACTCTTTCAGGATCTACATTTTGGGCTGTGGTGTTCTTCATCATGCTCCTTACACTTGGTATCGACAGTTCTGTGAGTACTTTTTCCTTCTAGCCTTGGCATTGTCCTTTTCCTGTAATATTTTTTACTAAAGAGGCATTTGCCTTAAGCAGATTACATTTCAAGTAAACATTCTGTACATTTCCTAAATCTGTTTTCACAGTCATAGTGAACATGGCAATACTATTACTCGCTGTCTTATAAAGACTGCCATCATCAAGAGGTTTAGGAAAAGATTAAATCTCTGACTAGCCAGTAAATATTTACTCCCTGCTACTTTTTTATGACTTTTCAGAAGGGCTGTTCATCAACAATTATTACTATTTAAAGGTCCAACAACACTACTATGAACTATTACTACTATGAACCTGCAAAAATGTTTTGGAGCCCTGCTTGCAAAATACCAAACATTGAGTAGAGTGGTTTCTAGAAGGGATTATTTTATGTGTTGAAATCTGCTAATCTGCTCTAGACAGACAATGTCTGAAAGTACTCCTATTGTTTTTCTACAAGCCGTGATACAGAATTTCCTGTAAATTTAATCACAAGTTTAAAATTATGCCAGAATATTTCCATAGTGGTTTCATTTTCCTATAATCTTACTGTAAAATGTCTCGTCTAACAAGTGTATTTGCTCTTTGTTGAGATAAATTTTACAACATGATATTCAGGATCATAGAAACTTCATCCCATAAAATATTCCAAGCCCCCAAACAACTTTTGTACTACTTTTTTTCTACCAAAGAGGTCTCAAGACATCCTGTTATATTTAGCTTAAAGGTTAATACACTTCTGGAGAACCAAATAGGGTCTTTTAAGGAATAGTAAACCATGGACAAGCTTTTATCCTCTTTAGTAGGGTAGGGGGTTTCTTACTATTCCAAAGCATAGAAGTCTCTTTTGAAGTTCAGAATGTATGAAGTTGATCCAGGAATTTCTTGCTGGAAATGGTAAAACACTGTGTTTCCATTGCTTACAACTTCAGGAAAATTCATTCCTTTTCAAGGGCAAGAAAGGGAATGAATGAATTGATATGGAAAAAACCAAAGAAAGAAAAAAAAAAAAAAAAAGAAGAGTGTTGCAGCAGGAAGCTTTGATAATCATTGGCAAATAGCTAAATAAGATCTTGTGGAGTGAGGGCTGAGCTGTAAAGGTCAGATTCAGGTCTAAATATTTCCAAAGTGTTTGGATTTTTGGATTCCAGCTGAGGCCCAATGAAATTTGTCTATATAGACTAAGATCTGCATCCTTAGACCAAAGTTTGAGGAAAGATTATATATGGGATTGTACCTTTTTTAACTGTACATTTTTCACCTGTAAGCAAGTATAAATGATTGAAATGAAGGGTTTATCACAGTGAAAGGACATGAATGACCAGTAGGAAAAGGACAGAATGAAGAAGAAAATTTATGCTCAGAAGTGTCTAGATCCAAAACAGTTAATTTTGCAACAGCCGTAAATATAGGGCAATGTAAAGAAACATAGAAGTGACAAAGACACTGTAGGTTATAGAACATAATTTTCCTACAAATAGAGAAAAGTTTTTCTGCTGGAGCTAATTAAAATGCAGTGAACTAGTCAACTGTGGCCAAGTTTAGTTTTTCCTTCTAAAAAGGGAAGGATTTACTGGTTCAAGATTTGACATGATTTGCCAAAGAAAATTCAAGTCCTGCAGTACTTTTTATGGTGATAATTCTCTGTTACTGATTTCAACCAGGAATATTTTAATCAAAGGCTTATAGGAACGTGACAGGCTGTGTCAGCACCTGATAACCAACTATTGTATTGCACCAGGCACTTCAGGTCTTGCCATGGTCTTTTAGCATCACAAAAAGCATAGAATTAAGCCTCTCTAAAATATTAAATAAATTTGTTTACTATGATAAAAGATTGAAATTAATTTTCATAGCTTTTTGTTGGCATTTAGGGGCAGAATGTTTTCATTAATGGAAAGAAATTAAAATTCATAACCACCTTCATAATCCAGCAATTTAAATGAAAATTTGGAAAGTACCTTTCCTGTATTGAAAAACAATAGCTAATGTTCCTCATTAACTTCTAAAAAGCAAAGTAAAATTATTTCATGTTGTCAACAAAAAAAATTACATCAAGCTTCCTTTGTAGTAATTTACAGACTTCTTGCAAGTCTGTAAAGATTTTTGTCAAACTGGATTTCATTAATCAATGGCTAATGCAAATCTTTGTTCAGTACATTTCCTTTAGGAGCTTGTCATGCCTGTCTTTAAGAAATATCTTAAGGAGCTTAGCTACTTAAGCTAGCAGCTTTTTCCCCAAAGTATATTCAAATGCATATTCTTTTCCCCAAAGTACTGTCTACTTATTGTTCTGTTGAGTCAGCAGAGTCCTCAGAGGCTGTGCAGCAGTCACCCCTCTTGATGTCCAGTTCCCTGACCCAGAAGAAAATAAATCCTCATATCACCAGTTACTTACAGCTGAAATATCAGAAATCAGAGTGATTTGATATTAATTACACAATCTGCTTTGCATTCTTCAGTCTGTATTTCCTACAGCCAGTAGCATTTAACCAGAGTTTGCCTTCCCTTCTCAGATGGGTGGGATGGAGGCTGTCATCACTGGCTTGGCAGATGATTTCCACCTTCTGAAGCAGCACAGAAAGCTTTTCACCTTTGGTGTTTCTTTTGGCACTTTCCTACTTGGTCTTTTTTGCATTACCAATGTAAGTACAACAAAAGTTTCCATCAAAACGTTACCTAAAAAATGCCATTAACCTTTTCGTATGGATAGGTTCAGATGACTACATTTGATTATAAATTTTAGTTCTTAAACTACTTCTATTCTGAACATCACTTTTAATATAATATATGAAGCTTCTCTAGTTTTTGGCACAAGATCATTTGCTATCAACCAAGCCTGTAAGTCTGTTCCAAACAACTATCTCTGCTGTTGCTGGGTTTATTTGGTTCTGTGTGCTTTCTTTTGCATGTTTGGGTTTTTTGGGGTTTTTTTTGTTTGGTTTGGTTTTGGATTTTCTAGTCACATTAAATGGAATTGTGTAGAGCACTTATTCCTCTGTGAGGAGTTAAAAATTTCAAGTGACAAGACCATCTGTCTGTTCTCTTCTTGAAGAAAGTAAAAGACACTTACTGCTCATGGAAGGAGTGCAGAGTAATGACCTGCTCTCCCCATCTTGTTTCTTCTTGTTCCTTCATGTACCTAGATCTTGACATCTTTTACTGTTAGCACCACATAAAGCACAAAGAAAACTTATCCTGAACATTCAATAACCTGTATTTATCACTACCATCAGAATGAATATTTTATCTCATCTGGCATTTTACAACTAATTAAGGAATGAAATTAATGAGTTCTAGGCAGGAGAGAATTTTCTCTTTTTTTGGCCATAAAAAAAACAGAGAGATCTGTTAACTAACATACCAAAACTGTCAGAAAACAACTGAAACTTGAAGAAACCACCATGAAATCAGATGTACTGAACCTCTCTCCATCCCTAGAAATGGTTTCCATGTCTATTATAAAAATTAGTTAAATGGCATAACTTTATAAATAACTAAGTGCTTTTCTGTGTAAAAACACCCCAGTATTTGTGCTCCAGTTTCCTCAAACTGAGAAATAGTTGAGACTCTAAAAATAGATATATCATTTTAAATATCTATCCTTTTAATACCATACTATTTCTATCAATACCTAAAAATTGGACAAGCTCCTGTTTATTCAAAGTTTCAACTGGAATAAAATATCCTGAAATACAATATCAGAAGAAATTCAGTGTTAAGAACCAGAACATGTGCGAGTGGGTGCGATTCCACTGCCTCCAAGTGAGCTAAAGTTATTTAAGATAATGACCTAACTTCAGCTTTTAAATAATGGCACCTGTTTAGGCTGAAGTTCACCCCTCCAGCTGGAATTCACAAACTGTCCAGAATAGTCCAAATGAATTGGTTCACATAACTAAAGGACAACATTTCTGATGTATAAAAAATAAAAAGGAAAACCCTTGTGAGCACATCACATGAAATTGTTTGATTTTGGCTCTTGAATTTTTAAGGCTATATTTTTGAAAATAGCTGTTTCTGAAACAAGCATGTTTCTTACAAAATCATTAGTAATTCGCTTTACTAAGTTTGATTGTAAATGCATTCATTTGGAGCAGGTGTAGAGCAAAAACAAGAAGTCAAACTCAAATGTCATTAAATAAGCAACATTTTCTAACACAATAACCAAACTTCATTCGATTTCCGGACAAGTCCCCACAGAATTAAAAACCTACATGAGGCCTGAGTACTGCTCTCCCTATTTTGTAAATATGCACAGCTGTTTCGGAAAAAAACATCTTTATAAAATAAAAGGCAACTGATTACAGGGACTAGAATCACCTACAGATTTAAACAATACAAGTGCTATTTCTACCACTGGTGGTAAAATAATTCCTTTGTTCCTCCCCTTCTGAACAGGCATCATCAGATTAAATTCAGTTGCAAAAAGATATTTTAACAAAAATCTACTGCAACTGCAAATATTTCAGTTGCTTACATGTGACAAAGCTTCCTGATACGCTTTATCTGGGTTCATTTTTCAACAAATCTGGATCTCATTGTTTTCAACTCATCTTTAGCTGAAACTCAGTAAAACGAGCAGTAATTTACACAAATACATACCACATTGCAAAACTTGGCCAAAAGTAGTAAAATTGCAGCTAAAAAAAAAACCCAAAACCCTAACAGGGCTTCAGTCAATTCATTTCCAGTTCTTGGTCACGAACCACTGAAGCACAAAATGTGCTGTTGTGAAGGAAGACAAGGGATGTTCTTTCCACTGAGCAAAGGTTTGCAAATACCACAGCCCAGAGACTGCACAGGGCACAGCAGCTGCTTGCTGTGCTGGGGACAGAATTTACATCCCCCCCTGCCTTAGCAGAGCAGTGGCCAAGAGAGATGTAGGCAGTCAGGGAAAAGGGAAATGAGACCAACTCACTGAAGACTCGCTGGCCTGCAGAGCAAGTGGCCTTAGGAGCAAAGTGACTGATAAGGGCCTATGGAAACTCTTGCAGAGCTCCATTCCTGCCATTAATTTAGGAAGTTCTTCATTAACTGCTGCAGACAGGCCCTGCCCTACAAGCTGCTGATCTTTTCCCCAAAATTCCACTGAACAGGAGTGCCAAGAGAACTCATTAATCTAAGCTGAGGTTTCTCTTTCCCCGTGAAGTGAGGACATCGGTGAAAAAAAGCCTCTTTAGAAGAGTTGCAACTTTGATTCCACTATTTTGTATGCAAATATGTACCTGTGTCTGATGCATCAGATCCATACTAAAATACTTGGGTTACAGTGCTTCAAGTAAAGCAGATTTCTGTTAAGTGGATACTAAACTCTGAGATGATACTAAAATCTACTGAGAGATACTAAAATCTGAGATGATTCTGTTTGTAACTTCATGTCCTTGCATCTTTTAACTCCCTGTTGCAGGGTGGAATTTATGTGCTCACACTTCTGGACACATTTGCAGCTGGGACTTCAATATTGTTTGCAGTTCTAATGGAGGCAATTGGAGTTTCCTGGTTTTATGGTAAGCTTCTCCTTTTGTGTGTGCAAAAGCTTTTATGAAATTCCAAGTTCTCATGACAGGCTTACACATAATTTTAAGGGAAAACAGCATAGCCTTGTATACACAAAACCATGACAAGTCAGGTTTCATAGAGTGGTTTTCATTTGATTTATGAGCAGTGACAGGAATGCAGACATTCAGTGAGCCAAGCTTTGAGACCCTGCACAAAGCCAAAGCAAGCAGCCTTGTGAAAGGGACTGTGATGGGATGGAAAAGTTACTCCTTCTGCCAGTATTTTACAACTCTTAGTATTGCTGATGACTTGCAGTAGCAGATTTAGATTTGGTACTTTCAAAGCAAATAGATTGGCCTAAATACAGACTCACCTATTTTTGCTTTTCATTAGTCCCCCAGGACCAATCTCAAGCACTCTTCACACAACAAACAAAGGTAGTGTTTAGAGAGTTAGAATAATTCCTACATCAATCCCTTTTGTTTGAGACAATATTCTACTTCATTGTAAAACACTAGCAGTTTATTTTATTTCATAGAATGGTATAAAATATCCAACACACTAGATACCAGAAATTCTATACTAATTTATGCCATAAAAAGGGAGTGGTGATTTACTTTATCCCAAATATGGCAAGCTTTAGGAGTATTTAGTTGACCTCAGGCACTAGACTCTATGCCAATCAGAGTGCAGTGGTATGCTATAGCCGCCTAAAAAAATATGGTCTCTTCTTTTCCTTCCTAATTTCTTCTTTATTCTCATGCTTTAGTTCCTGGCTGATCACAACTCTTTTCACTATTACCAGGTTTGAATGGCATAGCAGCCTGAAAATCTTCTTCATTTTAAGTCTATATTGAATGAGTTGCCCTGATTCCAAACGAGATTGTTCTTCCTCTGAACGCCATCTTCATTTTTATTCAGACCTAGTATTTAAAGCTAATGTATGATTCAGAGGGTTCTTAAACATTATGATTCTTATTATTTACCTCACTCAGTCACTTATTTATCCATTCATTCTGACTTCCTATGTTCTCCTAATCAAACTTTATCTTGCAGTTAAAAAACTGTTGAAGAGTGAGTGAAGTGAAAGAATGGCATCCATGCATAAATCTGTTCTATCTATCAAAGGAATAGTTTCTAGTTTTAATGCACTAATTCTGTCACCCAACATTAGCATGGAGTAAGCACCTGTCTCTCAAAATAACTAAAGCACTTTATTTCACAGACAGCTGTCTTCGATCCGTGTAAAAGAGCTGAATGTGGACGAGTTATCACAGTTTAGCTTGGAAGTAGAAACTTCTTCAGTTTCTAGGAGAAAGTTACTTTCTGCTACTATTAAAGCAGGACTTACTGCACTTTACAGTAGCTAAGCTTTGTAGGTGGTTCACAGACCAGACTAAAGTTAGTTAAATTTTTTTTTTACACCCCCTGTCTTTATAATTTTTTTCCTTTCTTCCAGCAGACTCCCCATAATTGGGAAAAAATATCTATTCATTTTTCTTGAGCAGCTGACAGATGTTTCTACTGACACAACATGACCTGTTGCTTTATAAAGAACTTATTACAGCCCCAGGTGCTATTTAAACTTATTAAATCTGGCATGATCTTGTCTGCCTCTTTTTTCTGATAGACCCCTCTTGCCTTAATGACCTAGCTGAATATTAAGCCAGCCTAAAGGCAAGCATTGACATTTTGGCACAGACTAAAAACATGGAAATTTAGTTCAAATTATATCTATGACCATTTACTGTGAAGTTTCTCCTGCAAAGGCCAACTGTGTATGTAAGAGAAGGGAGAGTTAGTTTACTTTACTGTGCAGATGTACCTTAGTTATGACTGCTAAGTTGTTACCAATTTTCCTCATGTGTAACCCTGATATCATCTTTCTGGTAAATATTCTATTTTGAGGTATTTAACCAGCTCCTGATAAAAAATTTTAAGTATCTCTGAAACCAAGCCCTACAGCTGCCATCATCTGTAGCTTTAGCTGTGTTCTGCTTAAAAGTTGATTATTAGAACAATTATTTGAAGACATGCAGTACTGAAAAAGAAAATTGTGGAAAAGTGCAGTCTGAGAGCATGGCCTATTCATCCCCCATTTTCAGCAGAAATTGAGCACCAAGCACTGTCTGAGGTGCAAGTGCATCTGTCTGGAAACATATGAATAAAATTCTGATATACGTAGACCTTGTCTTTGACCTTCTTCACAATGATAAATTTCAGTCAGTGTTCATAGCAGTTAAAATTTAGTCACTTTAAAGTTCACAGAAAGCACTGCAAATAGAATCAGATTAAGTTTAAAGAGCATTTGCAGATCCTTCTTGCCTATTTCTCTTCACCTGAACATAATATTGGGGGCTGGAAATTGTTTTAAGACATTTACACTCAAGTGTCCACACCCTGAAAATATTTTGCATCCTATTAGGTACAATGGACTAATTCAAGCTGACCCAATTATTTACATTAAATAAATTAAATAAATTGTGCTGAACTGATCCACATAAAGAGAAATCATATTTATGGAAAACTATACATCCTCTCTAATAAACAAATATTCTTGGAAAAAAGCTGCATTTCTGCTGTTTACCTAATGGGTTCATGATTATAAGTAAACTTTCTGAATACATTAAGCAAAAAAAGGGTAAACAAATAGTCTGACAAGACAGAATGCACAGAGCCAATGTCTCTAAGGTGTAAAATCAAAGACTGTTGTCTTTTTACAGGAAGCAGAGAAGGATATTTTTCCCCCCATTTTATATCACTGTTAATCATCCCATTCTAAAGTGGTGTAGTTTTGTACATATTTACAATAAACAGAAGAAGAATTGTCTGAGTTTTCTGGAAAAGTCATAAATATGAAATTGTATTTGTAATAAAGAACATTCTTTGTTTAATGAAACGCTGAAAAGTAAGTATCTCTTAAGTGGAACAAAGAAATCTCCTTTGATAAATTAAGAATCATATGAATCTACCTCATTATCAGCAAGCAGTTTGTGTAAGGGTTTACATTTTCCTGCAGTATACTCATAATAACATAGAGGAATTAGGTTAAAATAATCCATAACTATTTTAAAAATTGTGTCCCATTTACAACTTAAATTCTAGATATTTGTGAAATGCCTCTTTTCAGTGGTAATGCTGCTGTCTGCAACAGGCCTTAGGTGCTCACAGGCATTTAAGTCAGATACAGTGATATCAAAGATAAATCTAGACATTGAAAGGAGATTAATGTTGTTATTTCTTATGTCTTCTGATTTGAAAGTCATTCATGTCTGGTTTCTGAAAAAGATATTTTGGGTATGCCAGCATCTCATCAGTTTAGACTGAAGTCAGTCTCATGCTTGCATCCGTTCACACCCATTCTAGGTGTAGACAGATTCAGCGAAGACATCCAACAAATGATGGGCTTCAAACCAGGCCTCTACTGGAGACTGTGCTGGAAATTTGTTAGTCCTGCTTTTTTATTGGTAAGTGTTTATGCCATCGTGAAAAGAATACCAGTGCATTGCTTCCCAGAATATACAATAGATACCAAGAGCAAGATACCTATTGCTGTGCCAGATATTGTTGGGACAAATAGGAGACAGTCCAATTTAATGCTTTTTTTCTCCTTGAAATTCTATGCTGGTTATATTTTGTATAATACATTTCAGTTGTGGGAGAGAAGCTAAGGGTGGTTGGGGTCTTCTTCTGATCCTTCATTTTAGTGTGATTTTAAGAAGGCAGCTTTTCTTAGGGAACACTTAGGACAGTCCTCCCTGTCCCTGTAGCACCTCTCCGTATTAAACACAAACCATTCCCTTGGGAAAATAAGCTAGCCAGGGATAAAAGATTGTGTTAGCAAAAATGTATTTTTAATTGGAGGATACTAGGATCCCCAGTTTGTGAAATGACACCAGAGAAAAAATAATATACAGCTACATCTGTAATTAGCTGTGTGAAATACTGAAGAATTGTATAAAATATACCTTGTAAGCTGCCTGTTGGAAAAATCAAGCGTTCCATTGCATTAGGGGAAAAAAAATCCCTAAGTGTGAATTTGGTTGCTTTGTGTAAAGGTTAGATTCAGTACTAACCTCGAGTTTTATATTGGAATCTCTTCCTATGCATATTTGTAAATCAAAAGGTCAGGATAATAACACAGAAATTTGACCTCATTATGATTTTATGAGACAATTCCTTGCATTAAAGCTCTGTGATCTTAAAGCATTACTGGTATTGCAAATATACACTGGCTAGGCTTTTAGAACAGGTCCACATTTTTTTAAATATAAAAGCTATGACCCCAATTCATCCATAAGCACCTACAAAGCCTGTTCTAGAAAGGAACTTGTATGGAACTATATCCTGCAGCACTTCAAGCAGGCTGACTCAAGCAGAATGGGAAAACGCCTGAGCAAGCATCCTTTGATTTTGCATGCAAGGAGACAGTTGAAAATTTAAATTTTATCATGAGTGTAGTAATAACCAAGCTAAAAGTGGAGAGCCCACCAGTTTAACCTCAAGTAGTTTAAGATGTCTCGGTGAAAGAGCCTCAATACTTTCCTAGAAAAGCCTGAAAACATGAGGGTCAGAATAAGTCTGTAAATAACACATCTCTGAGCCATCATAATGAACACTTCTTTTTTTTCCATCTGGAAGCTCTTTCTCTGTATTGTCTGCAGCTAGGAACATAAGCCCAAGAAAAATCACAAAATAGAATTAGTATTTTTCTAACCAGATTCTACACTAAGATCTTCCTTTAACCCACACTATCCTAGTGTAGTCTTTAAAACCCTAGGCTCAAAATATTTTAATTGGAAATTTAAATATAGAGCAGAACATATAGCCCCAAAGAACCAAATCAAGGATATCTGCATGTTAAACAACCCCCATGGATTTAACAGCACCGAAGTAGGGTGGTACACCACTCTCTCCTTCTTGCATCTAGCACTGGACAGGGAAGCATAGGAAGAAAAAAAACCAACTTTGTTTTCCAGGCCATAAGGCTGCTCTACCTTTCCTCAGTACATGTATCATTCTGGAGTTTGAATTATGCCTCTCATTGAAAAGTGGGTACAAAGCTTTTAAAGGAAGTCTAATATTCCTGGGAAACAAAAAGTAAAAACAAGAGATCCTGCAGAGCTTTTTCTTGACTACAGAATCCCTTTTCTACATCTGAAACACTAGTTTAAATGAGGCAGTAGTGGACAATCAAATTTTCCCATCAAAATTTCAAATAATCTGTATCCACAGTAGCTAAAATGAACTGTTAATACTAGTAAACACATCAAGAACTTCAACAGCTTAAGCAGGAAGAAGCTCAAAGTAAACAGGCTGAAGGTCAATCAAAGTTGATTTGAAATATACTTTTGGGTGGCTGCCTAATAGAACACCTGGAATCACTTCCAGTAAGGTTCTTCATCTTAAATCTGTGGTTCATTTTATACTTTCTTCTCTAGTTTGTTGTGATAGTCAGCATAATAAATTTCAAACCTCTGACCTATGATGACTACACCTTCCCTCCATGGGCAAACCGCATTGGCTGGGGAATAGCATTATCCTCCATGATCCTTGTGCCTGCCTATATCATCTATAAATTTATGAATGTGCGTGGGACCTTTAAAGAAGTAAGTGGAACACTAATCAAATGTCATGAAATGTTGCTGTGAAATGAAATGGCTGGGTCTAAGTTGGCAGTTTATTTCTCTCCCAAAACTTATTACTTATGAGTGACCTTTTGAATCCATCTGTCAGGTGGATCAGTGGTTTGAGGTAGGATTACTGCACTCTGAGTTTCTAGGCAGAAATTAGCTTTCCAGACAGCACCATAATAATTGGGAAAAAAAAATATTTTTATGCATGTAATTGATCCAATTGATGGGATCAGATTTTTTTTTAACAAAGAATGTGCAAATTATGCTTTCTTCACATTCAGCTATGAGGTATGGTCTTCAAACTGTTCTATATCTTGCTTTATTTGTCAGTTCAAAATGGCACATGAATTAGGTTCACTAGCCATATCATTTTTACCATCATATTAACCTTCATTGTCTATATACTCCTACTCTTATCTATAGTCTTAAAACCTCTAATAGTGCTCAGAAGCCTCCTCACCATTATACAGCACTGAGTTTTTTCCCATCACATCATAATTTTATAACCTTATCTAGACCCACTGACTTACACCTAGTTCTACTGCTCTCCTTTCCTACAGCTACACTTACACAATGGTGTAGTACGATTTTGATGTTCTTAGGCAAATCACTGAACCAACACCACATACAGAATTAAGCAGAAAATAGAATCTAAACCTTTACATAGATAGGTCGTATCCCCCTCACAAAGGAACAAATTGTTTCTAAAACATTACAGTCACCTCATGTAATGTTCACCGTAGAAAGGCACCCCAAAGCTAGAACTCCTCAGCTGCCCTGTTTTTGTCAGCTCTAGCATCTCAATGTCGTGCACAATTTCTTGATCTCATTTCCAGCAATTCTATAAGCCCTTTGTGTTGTTCCATCCAGGGGAGGCTTACAAGCACATTTTCTAGGACCATTTGAGTCTCAAAGAATAATTTGTACTGGCCCATCAGGCTTTTGCCCTCTTGCTTAAGTATACTGATAGGGGGATGTAGAAGCCTTTGGCCAAAATCACATTCTCTCATTCATCTGTACTGTTAGCAAGTTCTGGTTTGTCTGTTACTGCTGCTGCAAGGAGCAGCTCCCCAGTTTCCCCACCAGCATTATGGCAAAAGGCTAATACATGACGTCCAAGTAACTAGCTCCAATATAATGCCTCAAAATTGAGGCTCTTTAAGGGATGGGGAAAGGTATGAACCTAATCTAATTGGAACTCCTTAAGTTGGTCAAAATTTCCTAAAATAGACCAAAATCTACACGTGATCTCAAAGGGCATGGCACGGGGTAGACAAAGGAGATGAGCTGGGAAATACCAGTGCCTCCTTCCTCTCCCACTCTGGGACCAGCCAGGCCTCTTACAGCACTAAGAAAAACATTAATTTAGGGAATCTAAGGCCTGTGATACCATCTTGTTCCTGATACTCTTTTCTATATGCACTTGCTAAATATTTGGACTTAGTATTTGCATAAACTTTCTACTGTTGCTTCTTATATTAAAAGCTAACACCCAAGGGCTTATTCTCCCAGTGACTGAGTAAAGGCACATGATGCAGTGATATTCAAGATTTAAGTTACCATTTTAAATAAAGTTCATGCTACTTCCCCACTATAGATTGGGGATTACATACATAATCCCACTTCATATGGCTGACTTTTTCCTCTTCTTCCTGTCTGGTTTAGAGACTAGCTTACTGCATCACGCCTGAAAACGAGCACCAACTCGTGGCCCAAGGAAATGTCAGGCAGTTTAAGGTTAGTAGACCTTTCACATGCTTCTTCTCCTGATACCAACCATTTCCTGCCTTTAGCAACAGCTACAGCCTTGCTCCAATCTCCTCATGCTGGATGCCTTAGCAGGTCTGCAGTTCTTTATTTCTGCCAGCATGACAAGATGCAGGATGCTCAGTACCACATGCATCAACCCTTTTGGAAGGCTTTTGGGACCTTCCTTCTTTGCCTAAGGAGAGCCTCAATTTTACAGATCACCTGAATCTCATATTTTAGGTTGTGTTTGAATACAGTGAGATTTCACCAAGAAACAAAGTTATTTCCAAACTAGTGTGTTTGTATTTCCAAACTTGTGTCACTGGAGTCATGGCCTGTCACTCAGTTACTTGCACTTCAGCAAGCTGAAATCATGTTTCTGGAACTGCAATTATGTCATATAACATATGGTAAACACCAAAAAAATATCCAGTGTCAGAGTTTACCTATAATGTCATGAAATAATGTACCAGGTTACATGGAATTGGCTTTCCCCACAGGACTAGAGTTGATTGAAAACACTGCTGGAGACTTCATAAGCCATGAAAATTATGCTCTAGGTTTCCAAATACTGCTTTCTATTTAGCAAATAAAATGAGCTTATTGAAATAAACTCCTTTATGTAGAGGATTAAAAGGATGCAAATGTGAAGCTTGTTACACTTATCAGCATTCATGCTGGACCACTTTCTGTCTTCAAAGTTGAAAGCAACTACAATTATGCACACCTCCACAAAATATGACCCAGATTTTATAGTGGTGGTTTGTATGTTGATACTGTAAAAATAAATATGGCTTTTGCTTTTTCTGAAAGATACTATTTGAAGTAAATTTTGGCATTTAAAGGAAATATGTGCAGCTTTATGGGATGCAGAATGAAAGCACAAATAGGCTTCCTGTTCCATGACCACTATTTATTTGATGTGGCCAAGAATATAAAATAGCACAACACCTCTTCCTGCCTTCTCTTTCTTCTGTTTCTACCCTCAGTTGTCAGATGATTTACTGTTCCTGCTGTTACTCAGTGTTTCCAGAGGCAGATGTTCATGTGTGAAAGGGCTATAAACAGCCACAACACAGTGCTGGTGTTCTGAACACAAATCTATGACAAAAGCAGCAAATTAATTTCACATAAACTAGTAAAGGCTGTCCTCAGAAGTAAACCACTAAAGTTACCTCAAACCATGCTAAATTATGAGAGCATTTTAATTTGCTGCCATCTTCAATGAACAGGTAGGAATGGGTTTGTTAATGCTAAAGCTGATTTAGTGATTTGCTCACAATGTTTAAGATTGTAAACAAAACACTGCCTACTATAATAAAAAAATACAAATATTTTATTGCCATATATGTCTGGCAGTTCTGAATTTTAAAACTGAATTGAGATCTGGCTAAGGAGCCTTTACATTCAGCACATTTCTCACTGCAATCTGGGCTGCATAGAAATTTAGTTACAGAATGGATAATCTATCCATTATTTTGAAACATCTTTGTAACTCTAGATTTGTCAAAAAAAAATGTATCTATCAGCATCATCATTTGAATCAATGATGAAATCTAACAACCACTTCTGTTTCCTTACAGCTCCAACACTGGCTAGCAATATGACAACCAACAGATCAAGGAAAAAGCCCACATTCAGCTAAACTGAGAATACAGAAAAGTCAAGTTCAAAGCTCCCTCACTTATGCTTGGGCCAGGCTGGCCCAGAGCTTATCTACTGACTCCATGAGGGAAGACATCTGCTCTCTGTTGTCAATGCCTCCCTTCTATTACTTGGCTTCAAATAATCTTTAAAGACTCCATTTAAGTTTTCTTGCATCCTTTGGTGCCATGAGATCCCTACATGACCAAAACTTGTGAGTTTTGCTATAGGCAGTAGAGGAGGGGGGAGCAGAGGAAAAGAACAATCAGCAAAAATTAAGTGCTTTTTTATTGTGAAGACGTGAATTAAACTTCTCTGACAGTAATAACTTCTTCAGATATTCATGCCACAACCTATTTTAAACCAAAACCACCTGAGTGCTGTCAGATCTAAGGAAAGAATACACCTCAGTTATGACAAAAGAGCAATTTTAACTATGTCCTCATGTCATTAGCTTTCTTGCCATACTGTCCTTTGGGATGTGAGTTTGCATCCTTCTGAAGTGAAGACTCAGTGCTTCATTTTCAGTGGTTTGTTATTAGTTCGTTCTCTTGGTGAAGAACATTGTCTTTGCTGTACATATCTATGCCATTTTCTGACCAGTTTAATTACACTGAAGCTGAAGGGCAGCAGGAAGAGAATTCCTGTTAGGTTACTAGTGCAGAACACAGCTTAATATCACAGTGTACTTCATGAAAGAGATATTCCCTTATATCATCAATTGGAATGGCTTTATCATATGATCCACACTCTGCAGACTTTTCCAGCTAAGCATGAAAGTTACATCCAAATAGACAGACTCTCCTATTTTTGTTGTATTTTGTTCCAAATAAAGAATGTAAAATACATAAGTGATAATTTAAAAATTATATAATTACCAAGTGGCACAAAAAACCAAATTCACAAATTACCCTGCTGTGAACATATTATAATTTAACCAGGATTCACCTACCAAAACATAGTAAGATTTTGTTGAATAACTTAATTATATATCAGGCACAGTCAGCTCTCTAAACCTATTCCCAATCTGTTCTCTAGTAGTATTATGCAAAGTAGAAGATACAGAACAAACTCTGCTTTTGGGTGCTGTTCTTATTCTGTGGTCACTTGTCACTGTAGTACCTTCCAAGTGATCACTACATTCAGTAGCTTTGAATTAGTTCTTGTGATTATTTATCACTAGGTCTACAGTAATTTTCTGAGGCAGTAGCTTCTCCGCTGGATCCAACACAGTTTACCTCTGGACATTACCTCTGGTGTTTTTTGTCTCTATACATTCAGTTGAGCTTGTCTTTTAAATGTATGTAGTGCTTCCTCTTTTTTAAAAAAAAGACCATTTCAATGGATCTTTTTTATTTATGAAACAATTTTTGTTGAGTTGTTTTCTTTTTTAAAATAGCCAAGTTTTAAAGTGCCAAGTGCTTTGGGGCTTTTTCTATTTAACATCGATTTCTGTTCAAAATAATGAAAGGGAAATTTCTCTCCTTATTCATTCTTTTCCTCCAAATATTCAATACTTCAGAGCAAATCAAGTGTTGTCCTTCTCTTGAAGAGTCTCTGTGACAAACAGTTTTATTTAAATAGGGATTTGAACCCAAAGAATACTTTCTTCTAATTATAAAGGAAGTTTTATTTTCTGGCCCCAGTGATGGCCAACAGCTGCTTAAACCTCATTATTAAATATATTTCAATAATAAAGGAATTCCAAATGTTGCAGTTCTAATGCTGTAATTACACAAGAGGCTAAATAGTGAAAATATGTTGAAGGCTTTGAAAAAATCATCCCACCAACTTCTCAGTTAATCTCATTTTTATTGCTTGCCAAACATCATGAGAATCTTTCCATATTTTTTAGCCTACTTTTCAAAAATACAGCTGCTTCAGTCACTGTCTTGGCAGGGCTCAAAAGCTTCTCTGCATAGATGCAACTACCAAGTTTAGAAACTTCTAGGGGCTGTTTAATATGGAGCTTTAATAGGTTGTCACTTTACACATTGTTTGGTTGGTTCATGATTGGAAATGCTAAAAATCTCCACCAATGTTCAGTTGTGGAGTCCATCAGCACCATCCCTACAGCACAACCCATGCAGGAAAAGTTACATTTCCTCACCACTCTGCTCTGATATAGAAGCAAAGCTACCATCCATGGGAATAAATCAGCTTTAGCCAGCGTGTTTGAGTTTGATTGTATTCTTAATGTGAACTCCTAAGGCAATTACCCACTGCATTATTTTTATTTCTGTTACTGTATAACTTCTTGGGTTTAATATAGTATTTATAGCTCAGGACTACATTGCACTTATTGCCACCTTTTTCTGAGGTTTTCTAGGTAAAGAACTTGCAATCTTTACTGAAGTCAAAAGTCTTACCAAAGGAAGTAGGGATCTTATTACCAGAACTAGCCTGAATGAAAATGACAATACACACTGCATGACTGCAGAGGCAGACTTTAAATTCAAGATATTGCCCAAAGAAAGTCTCCCTCCAAATAATATGACTTCTGTCCTAAAGACAAATATCTTAAATTCTCCAAAGAATAAGATGATTAACTACCTCGTGCCTCTTGGATGATGAATGATGCCATTAGACACAAACTAGCATCTATACAAATGACAAATACTTCTGTGAAGACCAGGTTATGTTCATTTCCTCCACTCAGTGATATGGTACAGACAGGCCAATAAGAAGCCATAGCATGGGCACCCACCTCCTCTTACCCACCTGCTTTGGGCCCCCAGGTACATTTTCAATATGGAAAATATCAAATGCCACAGAGATACTCCTCTCCCTTTGGTTAAAACACCTGTACTTAAAAAACAAGACCAAAGACTCCAGTCAGGTCTTTATCATCCATGTCACTTAACTGCAAGTCTTCCCCTAACTCTATCTTGACTTTTCAGCCCCGCAGCTCACCCTTTCCCTCAGCTGCACCTGTTTCAAGAGGAGACCCTCTCTGGGGAATGCCACTCTCCCAGATATCCCCATGGAATTGTGTGTATATTCTGTCTGAGTAGGTAGCCCACTTTTTAAAGAAGAAAATTTTTGGTACAAGTTGCAGAATCATCTGCTTGTTAATTATGTTTGTTTTTTGGGTAACAAACCCGTGGAAAGAATTCAATGAAGCTGTTAAAGAGCTCATTTGACAGTTCTAGAAAATATTTCCTCAAAAGCCTTTTCTTAATCTGATAAAGGAAGCAGCTGTCATATATCAGTATCTCTCTTCTGATCTTTCTTTTGACCAGTGAAAAAGACTTGCCTGATGATGTTTCATCAATCCACAGAAAGTTAGTTAGCACCAAGGAGAGAGACCCTCCATTCTCTCTTTGTACCCTACCCCGCCGTCATTCAGCCAGACAATTCTTCACATCCTTGGAACTATTCTAAAGCTACATTACTAAAACACCACAGATTTAAATTTCTGGAAGAAACAGTGGGCCTTTTAGGGCAATAGTCCAAAAAGCACTAGTACTATTTATTATTGGGCCCCTGTTTGACCAATACCTTTTTTATCAGTTCTTGTGCTCAATCATGACCTGAGACATACACCCTGGCAACACTTGAAAGACATCTTACCATAGTGAGGGATTCTGCAGGATATCCAGGATCAAACATGATATTTTAAATTTAGAAAGTAGGAGAATTATTTGGCTGTTACTACTGAGCACATTCCCTGACTGCATGTGCAATGTGTTTTATGTACTTTTCCCAAAGGAAATTTCCTGTACTCGGCCATTTCTTCTCAGCAAAATACCATTTAACTGTTACTATTTAAAAGGGGCAAGCCCAAATATTTTTTATATACATTTACTTTTCATACTATTGTTTTGACATAAATTAAGTGTATTTTGTACTGTTAGGTTGTAGGAGGCCACAAAGTTATTTTGCTGTTAATGTCTCTTTTGCAGTTCTTTCAATTAATACAGGATTAATTAGCAGATACTTGCTTTTATGGGAGTAGATAGCTTTCATTCATATCCTGGACTGCTTCACTAAATTTCACAAGGATTTGGCAAATGTTCAAGTATTTCTTTCCTAAGAACCAAATTAAAACTGTAGTTCAACAATTTCAAAAGAGGTGAGACTTAAAAATATTTTATTTGCAGTGCCACATTAAAACATTTTAAAATGAGCCTGAAGGACCCAGACATTAGAAAGCTATCACAGTTCAACAAATGACAATATATAACCCTACCTGCAGAAATTGTGTGAACCCTGAGCCTCTTGGAGCAGTAAACTAGGACTTTTTTGTTCTAACACAGTTCATTTTCTCAATACTAGGAATATCTGTGGTCCACAGATCACCTCATGTAAGAGCCCAATTTTTTTAATGTGAAGGCTAACATGATGCTTCAGATTAAACCCCTGAACAACTTGGGAGACTTTCTCAGCTACTTCCTCTGACTCATATCCACATTCCTGTTGGTGACTGTGAGCTTACCTAGATAATCAGTGGAAAGTGATTAATTTGTACAGTAGTACTGATCAAATTTAGACCAAATTTAGGCGCATCTAAATTCATCAGAGACTACTAAAGAGAGTTGCATAGGTAATAAAAGCATTCAATCAGTAAAAACATAACAAGGTAATACAGTCACTTTTAAGTACAGCATTTGATTGGCTTCCTTCACCACTAAAAACCAGAATGTGCTTAGAGAGATTGCAGTGACTGTGGGGCTGACAAGCAGAAGCAGGCCAAGGAACTGAAGACTCCAGATGTGGCAGCAGCTCTCTGGCCACAGAGAGCAGGCACAGACTTCCCAGGGAAGGCTGTGAGAAGATCAGAGAAAAGAATGAGAAACAATTCTGATCTCCACTTGTTGCACCTGCTGTTGTGCACATGTGGAATGTGTCGTGGAGATTTGTTTACCAAAGGGTGATTTCTTAACTGGACACTGGATGGTGTTTGGATGGATTGACCAATTAGGTCAAAGCTGTATCAAACTGGCTGGAAGAGTAACTGAGTTTCTTAATAAGTATAGTATAATATAGTATAAGATGATAAAAAAAAGCAATTGATCAGCCTTCTACAATCATAGAGCCAATGCTAATTATTACCCGGTTGGGGGCCTGTGGCAACAACCAGAAGGCTGCAAAAGACACAGCTATGATTGTGCTCAGTGCAATTGTGCTCTTAGAAGGACAGGGAGGTCTCTAGATCTGAGTGGCTGGGAAGAGCAGGGGTTAAATGGAGAGTTTTAACCCTTGTGTACATTAACCATGAACTGCATTCATTCCCGTAACAACAGGGGGCCTTTCCTGCCCAAGCACTCGCAGCAAGATGGAGTCACCCCTGTGCTTTGCTTTCCTCCTTTAAGGCGTTTCTTCAGCTGCTGTACTAAACATGAGTTGCCTAATTTCATTATAAGGAAACAGAATAAATTCAGTGAATTGAGAGAATTACTAAGCCTTAAGCTGGCTTTCTTTTGCAGGTGTCATGTTGTTTCTTGGTCACTGCCAAGAGGCATTAAGCTTGAAGGTGACCTGCATCTGTAATTTACCTTGTACTCTCTGTGAACCTTTCTGCAAGACTTAGCTCTCCTTTGCTATGGGCAATATCAGTTACAAAGGGAGAACCTCCAAACAATACATTTTGAAAATAAATCCTAGTAGGTCTAATGAAGATTTGCCTTACAAATAAAAGCTTTACAGTAAGCATTTACTTGGTTTACACCAGTGTTTTACTTAATTTTTAATGCCTTTTTATAGCAGTGACTAGACTTTAACTTCAATAAGGGTACCTCTGTATAGGAAATATTTTAATATTTTTACCAGTTTTTTTAATTTTCATAGAATATATGTATATTGTAAGGCGAGAAATTAAACTTTGATGTAACAAGGTTATCACACAAGACCTATCTCTTCATTACACGATTTTGTAGTCAGCCAGTCTAGTTCAATAATATGTTGGCCTTTGATTATAAATGTAAAAATGTGATACAGGAGAATAGAACATGACCTACAGATAATGCACATTGTAGCACAATATTCTCCATTGCTGCCTTAATCTCATGGAATGAAGTCATGTGTTTTTAATTTATATTCTAAAGACAAACCAAAAATCCAGAGTACCTTTTGTCTGCAATTTTGTGTTGTTAGATGACTTAACATTGAAGCAAATGTGTTAGTGTCCAGTAGATCTACTTCCAAAGCAAGAGAACACTTTGCAGTTTTCAGGAATAAGTCTTCATAGGATCTCTAAACTTGCCACTAGTAAAAATACTCTCCAAAGTGCCCCAGTGACCAAAAGTTTTCAAACACAGCCACCGCGTTTCCATGCCCAATTCCATTAATTGTGCAATCTGCAGGTCAATTTTGCCTTTTTTTTTTAAGTCTTTGGTTATCTGGGGGAAATGGCATTTCAAATTTTTTTCGTTAATTTTTGGGTTTATTTCCCAAGGGAGACACTTACATGTCCATGTGTATAATTAGAAACACCTGCATTTCTTATAAATATGGATATGGATGTGTGTGATGTGTGCTGGTTAACTATACTTAAAATGCTGATAAAGATGGTGAATGTAAAGTATTTGTCCTCATACCTCTGTCTTTCTGTGATCAGTGTAAATAAGAACTGTTTTAAGCTGTGCATTAATGTAACAGATTATGCCAATATTGTGTATAAAATTATTTAAATAGAATCTGAAAAATATGCACATAAAAAGAGTATAAAGAAAAGGATTATGTACCAAGAATTTACTTCTGTCAATTAAAAGCTGAAATGAAATTTTTGGTTTTTGTCAACATTATTCAAGCTGAAGCTTTGCAGGGGCAGCTGGCCCTTGGCTCAGCAGACAGCTGAAAACAAAATCACAAAAGCTGGAAACCTCCATAGCTCACAACCTTCAGGAGATTGCTCACATCCTTTCGGTGTCCAGTGGATGTAGTGGGCAGATTAATTTCTAAATTTGAACTCCTTTCAGCAAAATAATTACAGTAATGCAAATGAAGTCTTCACAACCACACATTGAAAGTAAATAATGAAGACCTTCTAGGAACATGAATGACGATGCATAGCACAGATAGCCTAATTCTACAAGGCCACATTGTTCTTTTTACAATAAATTATTTTTGTCTTGTTAATTTTGCCAAAAGTAGTACTAGCAACAATTTATAGATCAGCCCGGTAAAGGTGACCCTTAACCCAACATAAATGAAGAATAGGTAACAATTATTTAACTTTTTTTACTAGAACTAAAACCACTTTCTTATATTTCCACATCAATTTCTTACATTTCCACATCAATAATAAAAAGCACTATTTCCAAAGGTACATTTTGTTAGACTATCTCGCTTGTCCCCATACAAATTTTATATTTAGAACATACAGAACTTAATGACCTTCCTTGCTGCTTTTTCCTTTAAGCAGATCTCATTTTTAATGTACAGCCTTCAATTTTTTATATTTCTCCACTGCCTTCAAGTAAGAAATGCATGGTTTAAACTATTTTAATACATCTGAAAGACTGAATAACAAAATTTTCGTATGCTGATTTATAACTGTGTCAAACATCCAAACCCACAAATTAGTATTAAAACAATTAAAATTTGAATAATTTCAAGATCCTTTAAAACAAATTTCTGTTAAATACAATCTATTCTACCATTCAACAACAAAATTTTCATTTTACCACTACTCTTCATTTTCCCATAAACTGCTTTAACCAAGCTTTAGTCAATTGCCAAATCTTTAGGACTCATTAACTCAGCATTAATAGATTATGGAAGTAAAACTAGTAGGGATTACTTAAAATAACAAAATTATTCTGTCCTTCTGGAACTATTATTGAAACCAAGTTTTCTAGCTATTTTTGGATACCTATATTACCTCTTCTGATAGCTCCCTAATTTACTCTAAAAGCAGAAATTTAAGTAGCACCATTTTTCAACACCCAGAGCAGAGGAGGCAGATGAAGTACTGGATGCTACCAGTAGATCCAACAACTGTGTCAGCATCCCTGGTTCTTCAGCATCTCAGATTCTCACAAGCAAACATGAAATTTCAGCTTGCTTTCTTACAAATTAATATTTATAACCAAAGATAATTTAAAACACAGAAGCACAACAAAAATTATCTTTGAAAAGAAAATTGAAGGCTTTGAAAAATCAGAAAACATCTGGTTCTTTTTTCATTATAAGACAAATCAACAATGCTGCCAAAAAGCTGAGATATTACATTCTTGTACAAAAAAAGAGAATGAAGAGAAAACAGGTATGACATATTTTGAAGTATTAACTAAATAATAAGGGCCTCTTTCTAGGAATTCCAGAAGAAATCAGTTTTAAAAATGAAGAGTGAACTGCTAGAATTGAAAGAGATGCAGAAATGCCAACTTACATAATCCACCAAAGTGTAATAAATCAAAAGCAATTCCTAGAGAACAGAAAGGCCTTCTCCTTTCTCAGCTGTAAAAACAGTGATAACACTGCTAATCTTTGTGAACTTCTGAAGTATCTGGGACAGGCCAGAGCAATGGCATTACACAAGCCAGATAGAACCCTTCAGGACTACAATTATTAAAACTCCTCAAAACAGCTTCTCCCCTTCCTGTTGTTTGCAAAAAATAATTAAAATAAGTCAATAATTTTCTTCCTAGATGTCTACAAAGTATGTGTGGAAACATTTGCACATTTTAATGAAAGCTTTTCCACATGACATAAATCCACATTGAACCAAACTGGAAAGTTTGTTCTGGTCTTGATTTCTTTTTAAGCAAGACTCAGAGTTCAGCCACCCATTAATTATTTTTTGCAGGGTCATGTTACAATCAAATTGTGAAATTTACTGTCATTTCAAGCAAAAACATGTGATCAAACCATAGATTTCTCTTCCAAAGTATATGACACTGCATACATTTTCAGAAGGCACCAGTGGCAGGGGTTTATTACTTTTATTTACTGAGACTCAGAGAAAAAAACAACATAATTTAAGATACTTACATGCCACTGAAACATCTTAAAGTGAAAATCCATTTTTTAATTTCCTTTCTCTCTGCCAAAGTCAGAAAACAATCAAGCAGGGAATACCATTGGTCAATACTATTTTTCCAAATCCTGATCAAATTTTCTACAGACAGGCCTGGAAAACACTTGAAGTTCAAGTTGTCTTAATTAATTGACACACAGTATGATTTCTGGTAAATTCATGAGATTAATGTTCAGAATTGTGTGTTCAGTTTTATTAAAAAAAAAAAAGCACTTGCTTCTCATAAATATCAACATGAAAATTATTGTGTCTAGATATATTTCTGCAAGCAGAACTTTGCAAAAACATTAACCAACGTGAGCGTGACAGTCCACAAGAAGAACAAAATTATCAAGTGGTTTCACTCACTACCTTTTAACAAAACCTTCACAAACCACTACTAAAAAAATAAAGCACATGTAGGCCGCAAAAAAAAAAAAAAGTTGGAATTTCTGGCAGAGAAAATATTCTACCACCTTTCAAAGAAGAGATGCTTGATGCTTCATTTAGCAGTGCTTGTGAAAGCAAATCTTTAAAGAAACCCAATATTTTGGCATTGAATATGACCAGAAATTCAGTTACAGCTATTCAATTGCAAAATTGAAAGTATCATAATCAATATTCCATTTTTTTTACTAATTTCTTTAATTTGGAAAAGTGAAAAAAATTCATAGAAGGGAAACATTCTGGCAACTCAGAATGACTCTGGTGCAAAGGGAGCACAGGAGATCCAGTTATGCTCAGGTGCAATTTCCTGTCCCTCACTTCCCAAAAATAGCCCATTTTTTCTTGTTCTCTTGTGTGAGTCTCAGATCCAGTCAATGAGAGAAACTGAGAGTTTCTAACCAGGCAGAAGCCTGGGAATCTGTTGGAAAAGAATGTGAATAAGTCTTGATCTCTCTTGTTGACATTGTTTATAGTTCAGTTCTATCACTGTGCATCAAGAACTCTGCACCAATGCTATGGATTGCTTTCACTTCAGGAGTTGGTCCTCACAAAGCCCTGTATAAAAGAGCAGTGTATTTTGAATAAACCGGATTTTACTCTCAGCAGCCTTTGGAGTCAGAGTCTTTTCATTCCCACCCTGCCTCAAGAGCGTCACTCTTGCTTGGCCCCACCAAGCAGAGCCTGCTCCATCCTCTGACAGCTCCTGCAGGCACTGACAGACATTGAGGATGTCCCCCTCAGCCACCTCCTAAGAAAACCAAGGTTAATTCCTCCCTCCCCAAGAAGGGAAGTTTATCCTAAATCACACTTTAAGGGAAATATGGGTGATTTCTTGCAACCAAATGCACATTTATCTAAACTATTTCCTGTCTTCTTTCCAGAACACACATTAAAGGAACCACAGACCAGAATTTTGAGCCTGAGGTGAAACAGACACTGACTGACAGATAATAGGTCTTGTCCCGGCTTTAGTTCCTAGAACTGATTTATTTTCTGTCACCTACTGTCTCCATTAGAACTCTGGTCCTGAGTTGAACAACATTTAGTCTTCCATGTTTGGAGGTCACTGACAGCTTTCCTTAAGCTTCTGCTTTCAAACTTCAAAGTTAATTGAGCCCCATTGTAAAGAGTACATACATTCAACTTTATGGCCAATTTTGAATTCTTCCATCACGTAGCTTTCACCATCAGTAATGACAAATCTGAAGGGGACAAAGACATTGTAGGGCTGAGTGGTGAAAAGCAGAAGTCACCAGGAGTTTCACAAAGCAAAAGGAGAGCCCTCTAAAGGAACACTCAGCCTTAATGCAGTAAGCATTAATGCAGCAGCTCTGCCAGGTGACTCCAATACTGTCCCCAGGCTGCACTGCTCCACTTTGCAGGTTTATGCCTTGCCTCAGGTTTGCCACCTATGCAACATCTGCAGAGGTTTCCTGATCTTCTTTGCTCAAAACAACTCAACTCAGCTACGGCTTTGAAACCATCTGCTGCTCATTTGGTGTGGGCCAAGCAATAGAAATACAAAAGTTGTACAGGAAATCAGAAACCTGCAATCCTTTTAAAAGGACAGAGTGAAGCATTAAGTTTCCATAAAACATTCTATACTCGAATACATAGGTAAGTGTCTGTAGCTGAAGACCAATTTTTAAATGTTAGAAAGAGATGATTTTATATTATTTATTTTGTAAATACTACATTTTGCTTCCTGTTTTGCTGGGCTTCAATGGCCCCACTTCTATTGGGATAGCAAATAAGGCTGAGAATTAACTGTGCAAGAACTCCAATTTCCCATTTTTGGAAAAGAACAAACAGGCTTTCAGTTTATACTTGTCTCATCCAAAGCAATAGCAAGAAAAGCTTGGGTGCTGCTTGAGTGCCAGTGCAACCACCTAGAAATGACAGAAGTCCATATCAGCCTTGCTCTGGTTTGAAATACTTAGGCAGCCTAGGAATTTCAAAATCTATTTTTCAATTACTATTTTGCTCTTTTGCTATTTCTTAAGCATGTTGCATTTACCTACTGAACTGACCCCGAAACCTCTGAACTACTTTGAACTACTTCTTTGTTTTTAAATTTGTTTTACTCAAAAATTAAACCTGAAATATTAATCTCCCTCCTAGGCATATAGAATATTCTTTGTTATTCAAGAACAAACTTTCCTGTTGTCTACTAATCTGATTTGATGTCTTTGTCCTTGTAATATGCCAGTTCAGTAGTTCACATTTTCCATTGACTTTTCAATGTTTTCTGAAGCCAAAATGACATTACCCTTTAAGTACATGAGGCTGTTGTCATCAAGAAAGAGGCAGCACAG